TCGAGCCTTAAACAACTTTGATAAGGTATATCTAGATTTTTTTTGTATAGCTTTATACTCCCAGAGAAGGGGAAAAAAGGTTTCTGTTTGCATATGTAAATGACCATTTCCAATTTAATTTCCCATCTGGTGAGTTTTGCTATTTTTTATTGTAAAACTTAGTGCAGATTCGTTTACTTGTCAATAATTTGAGTGTGGATGTGCTGCCATGTGCATCTTGTTATATTTTCAATTTTGCAGGAGTCTCGCAAATATAGGGATCTGCTGGGAGCGTTCTGGGATAAGGTACTCCCCCATCTCATCTCCCTAAATTTTCTCATATGGTGTTTTTCTGTGTCCATTGTTCCATAATGGTAATTTATGTTTATGTAATTTTACTTGCAGCTCTCACTTGATGATATTAAGGAAGTTGTATCATTGCATGATGTTTCGATAAAGGTAATTACCAGATTCACTTTCCCTCTGTTTAGGTATTTATTTCCCTGGAATTTGAAGCAGTTCTTTACAACGACAACAACATACCCAGTGTATTCACACAGAGTGGGGTCTGGGGATTTGAAGCAGTTCTTTAAAATGAAAATTTGACGCATAAATATAAAGTGAAGATCATCATATTACTTGCAGTGATTATAGTAGGATTATTGGTGATGTGCTACAAGGTGCTTCTTACATTTCTTGACACCTATATGTGTGAAGTAACATACTTGTATTCTGCATGTTCTACCTTTTTTCTATGAGAAAAATATTGGCTTAGTTCTTATGTTAGGGAGGTGGCGACTTGTAATAGTCACTGATGATCACCACACAAATAAATTGCTAACTGCAGATATTTAAGGATCTGTGTTTTGTTCAGACTACCTCTTTATTCATATAAATGTCTATCCATGCTAGATTCCTTTAGCTTGTATGTATGACAAGCTCAGAACTGGTGGTAAAACTGTCTAAAGTGACACTGTTGAAATGTTGTATATGAGAATATTCTAATGTGCCATTCTGTGACACTGTTGAAATGTTGTATAAGAGTATTCTAATGTGCCATTCTGCTGACCTTCAGACTTAAAGAAACATTCTGTGGTTGTACTGTCTTTCAGGATCTTTCTGGATCTTCACTTGTTCAGGACCTGGCAACATCTATGCGAAAACCGGCGGTCTGGACTCTTCCGCAAGATTATTACAAGGCTGGCTTAGCTTTGTTGGTAAGTAATCTATTTCCACTCCCTGTCAAGTTCTATCGATACCCTTTGAGCAAGAAGAGCCAATGATGATGCTCATTGTCAATTTTGCAGGACCTCATCCAAGGTATACCTTCCAAGCTTACCTCTGGGGAGTTATTTAGCGTCCTTGATGATGCTAGCGAAAGAACATTTTTATGTGCTGGTACAGCTGAGTCACTGCAAAAATATGTTTTTGATGGGGATGCTTCCAAAAAAGGTCCTGAGCTGAAAAACTTGGTAGCTTGCACTAGCTTCCTTTTTGAACAGAAACTGGTAGGTCTTTCTACCTCACCTCTTAATTCCTTCTTGTCTATTTCTTGAGAACTGGCCAGCTTTGCGTGTTGTCTATATGAAATGCCAGCATATTGCATGAAATGATATTTTGGGTTCTGTTCTTAATATTTTCTGAAAATGCTGTTAATTGCTAAGCACTCTCTGTTTAGTTTTTCCTTTCTTTGTATCAGACTGACCTTGTCCTTCAAACCAACATCCAAAGTGACTTGTGTCTTGTTATGCGCAGGTAAAAGCATGGTTTGCAGACAAAGATGCTGAAGCTTTGAGATGCCAGAAGTTGCTTTTTGAAGAGGAAGAAGCTGCTCAAAAAAAGTGAGCACTTTTTACCATATCTTTTGTTCTCTGATATTGCCTTTTCATGCGTCCCACTAGTGATTATTGCTTTCTACTGATCATCATTTTTCTGATGTTCTTAGTAAGCAGTCAGTAATTTATGATGTGGTATTTCATATTTTCCCTTTCCCTCCTTTATTGTACTAAGAATTATGGCTCTTGGTTGATTATTATTTTTATGATGTTTTGGGTGGCTAGTCAGTAATTGATAAAGAAGTATTTTTTTTATTGTATGGAATGAAGTGTTAAAAGAAAGTCTACATACTTGGTGTTTGACTTTTGAGAAAAAAAAATGTTGTGAAGTTGTGCTCTTGGAGTTTATTCCCTCCTTTCTTGAAGCAGAATAGGATATTGCATTTTGAGTAGCAAACAGTTTTTACTTTTTCATTTGGTTGTCAATCCCTGAAATGTTAAAGCAGATCTAAAAACCATTTTCACATGATTTGAGGGTTCAGGTTCTTGCATTTACAATCCTGTTTATGTGGAGAAAACTATTTGACACGCATATCGTATCCTGTCTACTTCAAATGAAGATTTTATCACTTGCGTAAAAATAAAATTACACGATTTGTTGCTGGGGCTTTGATCTAGACACTGTTGGTACCCAAACTATTCGTCACTAGCCCTTGCGGGCTTCATGGTTATAAAACAAAAAGATGCTCCCTCCGTTCAAAAATAGTTGTCCACTATTGACTTAATACACTTAAAGAAACAAAAAATAATAAGAGGGGGGGGGGGGAATATATACTATAATACCCTTTTAATATATTAAATTTAATGCCTTAGGAAATGTATTAGATATTGAATTAGAATGTTATCTAATAGCAAGGGTAAAATGGACACAAATGGGTAAGTATTGGTTGGACATCTATTTTTAGTACTAGACAAGTAAAGATGGACGGAGGGAATACATGATTATATATTCAGCTGTGCAGCAACTCATTTTTGCCATCATTCTTCTTATTTTGTTGGTAGGCAAGCTGAGTTGTTGGAAAGGAAAAAACAGAAAAAGCTCAGACAGAAGGAACAGAGAGAAAGGGAGCAATCAAATTGGGAAAGAGGTGATTTGGAGGTTTCAATAGCAGAATCTTCCATCCTTTCAGCTGCAGTATCTGATTCCAACTCAAGTACTCCCGAAGTATCTGACGATACCTCCTCCTGCCTTGAACTTGTACAATTCTCTAACAATGAAGTTATGGACATTGAAGCACAACTTAATCTCTCTAGCCAGCATCTGGATCTGGTAGAAATTCAGGATGTTGAGCCCCAACCAGTATCTGCACAGAGTCGACGGCATTTCCCCCATACCCAGTGGCAAGTGCCAAAGTCACAAAGAATGGGGCGAAATGGTTCCCATAACAACCAGAATCATCAAGTACAAAAAATTGAACCTGTGCAGAAGCATGGAGTTTTTAAAGACCGAGGTGCCCCTGTTAATAGCAGTAAGATTTGGACAAAAAAAATTAGAGTGCTAAATGGTGAGCGCTTTAGACCGGAGCCACAGAAGGAGGCAATAAACCAAAATCAGAGTAACTGTGAAGTGATGATTGGTTCTATTTCTGTTCCAATGAAAAATTGCAGCACTCCCGGACTGGGTAACTGTCCTGCTGTAGAAAGAGACAACTTCGACAGCCATGCAGAACCAGCCATGACTAAAAAGTGTAATCTTGCAGTGAAACCAGCAAAGCAAGATGCTCTTCAGGGTGGGTCAAATGGGGCAGCTGGGAAGCTCTGGAGGCCTGTGAGCAGGCATGGAAGTGGACAACATCCTGAAGAGGCTGTGATGAGTGGAAAGTTGGATAGTCAGATTTCATCCGCTGAAAATTGTTTGCGATCGTGCTCTATGGACAACCCCACTGGCAAAAGTAAGAATTACACATGTCAGGTTTCAGATGTTAATGCTCATCAAGGTCTGGGATTTTGCAGTACTTCTGCAAAAGCTTTTCTCTCTCAGAGTATGTTCCCTATGCCATTATCCGTGTTTCTCTCTAAGTTTCTACCGACTTATTTTGCGCTTCATTTTCGTCTGACCTGTCTGCAAATGAATGTAGGATGGAAGGAGGCTATTGCCGGGGATCATGTTACATTAGTCCTTTCCAATGACACCGAAGTTTCTGGACATCCAGATGCGCAAAACAGCAGTTCAGAAGCAGCCCCATCATCAGATGATCAGGAGCATGGCGTTCTTGTCGAAGCTGATAACCAGCAGAGAAATACTGGAGTTTCTAATGTATCCTCCCATGGAAATTCTAAACTTAAGTTTAGGCAGAAGCCTGATAAGTCTATTAAGACAAGGTACATTCCAAAGCAAAAACCATAATTTAGGATACAAGTATTTCTTGATTATACCAGATTGTGCAGTTTTTAGTCAGTTCAGCAGAGGTTCCGTTTTACCTGTGGTCTTCTGTCACAGTTACAGTTGAAGTAAGGTTTTCTAGAGTAGCTTATATCCTCGGGAGTTGCTGCTGCATTTTGGCTAGGGTACCCTTCTTTTTGCAGCTTACAGATTCTGTAACAAGCTGGGTTTTAAAAAAATTTAGTCTCATTGCTCATTATTTTCTGCTATGGCAGCTCGCCAACTTCTCATTTTAGTTTGAACAATATATGATTATAGTAACAATTTTTGATAAAATGGTCCCAGCTTTTCACAGGCCAACTGCTTGTCTTTCTTTTCTGAGCTCTCTTGCATTTTTGGTGCTTATTTGCTATGTTTGACTGCCCCTTAGGGTTGTCGGGTTTTTGATTTGATGTTCAGTCGAGTTGGCAATTGGTGCTTGTGGTCCTTTTAGTATATAATACACTTGCAAATCAACCCTTCCCTTCCCCTCATTTATAGCCTTCTTTCTTTTATTTTGTTTAAACATTTGGTATTTGAGATTTACTGTCTCGATTAATCTTGAGTTGCATCCAATTGGCCTCCTAAAAAGTAGCATTTCTACAGTTTGGATCCCATCGGATACTGCCGTACTGGCTGTGGATCGTATTCTTCCCTCTTAGAAAACGAATATACCCCGAATGTGATTTTATTCGTCGCGATTTACAATATTGTCGGTTTTCTATTCAAAGCTTCAAGTAAATATTAAGGAGTGTGACTCGCTGATATACCCAGTGATCTGTTTCTCAAGTGTTGTTTTGGGATGTTATTCAGATCGATCATGCTTTAGCTGATTAATGTTATTATATATGACGATTAACATATTCCAGGTAATGCCACAAAATACATATAACGAATAGTGGTAGGTACATGCCACTTTTCTGATAGACCCTTGTAATCTCAAGAGTACTGGTGTACAAACAGACTCAAAAGAGACATACAACTCCATTTATATACATACTAAAACTAGTTGAATCCTTTGCCAGATGAAAACAAAAAATTATACACTGATCAATCTTTTGATTTGCGGCCACAGTAGTATATCTTAAAGGCCTTAGGAAGATACACAGGCAACAAAAAACAGAACAAATTAAAACACCAAAACACCATATTAGCAGTAGCTAATCCTCTACCCATATGCACCCTCCTCAAATTCCCTCCATATTCTTCATCCACTTTCGATATTTCAGTCTTCAACCACTCCATAATCGTAAAAATCCTCCTCGAATTGTAAAAAACCGGAACAAAAACTCTTACAGGCAGCGAAAATTGATCGGTAAACGTTAATCCTTCCATGAAAACTTGACTAGCCAGCAAGAAAACATGTGGAGCTGCTGCTTTGATACCTTCTTTATCTCCCTCGTAAATTCCTTCGAAAATATAAAGTATCGGGAGAAATAACCCAACCAGAGCTCCAATCGAAACGTAAAGATTTAGTACTCTGTTTTTTTCGCCGAAAACAGGGGGCTGCTCTGTTTTAGGAGAGATTTGGGGAAAGGCAGTTTTGGAGAGGAAGTAGATGTAAATTAGGGAGAATAGAACGAAGGAGAAATCTTCAATACTCACCATACCACTTGAAGAAAAGATGATTATGATGGCGAGGACGTTGAGCTGTCGAAAAGTGAAAAATCCTCTGTTTTTTTGTTGTGTTTTTTTCTGGGAATTGTTCATGATTTGTTCAGTGTTTTCGTCTTTAAGAATGTCACTACTTGGACCAACTCCACCTGACATTTTTTTTTTCTTTAACAAATTTTGTTGTTGAAGATAATGAAGAACTACTACAATACATGGAAGTTTGAGAGAGTGACTGAGAGGAGAAAGATTTAAGGGGAGGAGATCATGAGTACACGTGCTAGTTGGAGATTTTGGATAAAATACGTGGCTGAAAGGAGATGACGTAGTGGAGATATTAATTATATCGTGTTTTTTTTTTTTAACTCAAAGTTTTTCGATAAATGAATATGAGTTAATTTACTTTGATTGAATTTCTAGAGGATGGGCGCGCACATGGTTCAAACTTTCGCTCTTATGCAATAGCTCGTAAATCACATTGGACAGGTAATTCGCACCAGGCAAGCTCAGTGCAATGAGTTAGATTCAGAAGGCAAATTCCCTGCTTTCGCTGACAATTGATTTCACAACTTGAGACTGACCACTGGACCACCCCGAAGGGTATGAAGGGTGCACTGTTAATGAAATGGTTGATGTAAGATATAATTTTGATCGGTTCGACATTTTAGGTGCTAAGAGATGTCTTATATAATTTTAGAAAGAAAAATAAAATAAAATAAATATAAAATTTAAATCTCTAGCCTCACGTAGAGAGGTGCACCCTATCATTAATATTATAATATGGGTTCACATATTTATATAATATAATACTACTATATATGATTTCAAGAGAAAAGCATGATTCACGTGAATACGATGATCCCTCCTTAAAATATGCCCCTGCATTTATGTATTATTTTATGAAAAGACAAATTAACAATAATCTACTATTTATAGGAACGACATATAAATAGCAAACAACATATAAATAGCAATAGAGAAAGTATTTAGTAAAGAAATATTTATTTATTATTGGTATTATCATAAATATTTTATTAGGTTATTGTGTTCCTTACAATACAAATCAAAAAAGTTCTGTTAAAGATAATATCACAATGAACTTTGAATTTCAAAGAAACAAATTATCTGTATCTTAACTTTGAATATCTTTTATCATTTTATTCTAAATAACTATAATTTTTATTTTCATATATCACTAACAATTAATCTCAAAACAATTACATAATACTTTTAACAAAATTATGAATAAAATAAAGGGCTTTGTGTTTGTGTAAGTAGGCACATGTCAATTGGCGGTCGCATTGGGGGCTGTGGTGCGACCGTGAGCTACTTCTTCTTTGCCATTAAAAATAACCATAGACTATTGAAACCCACTTTACATATTACACAAAAATATAATGGGACTCCATGTGTATTGCTACTATTTTCTATTTATAGACAGACAGCTTTTGTTTGCTCGTCTCTTTTATACTACTAAGTGGTAATCATGTTTTTTGAAACCAGAAAATATATTTATTATATTTGAAAAGTTGCATAATCTTTTAAATTAAAAGATAAAATTATAACTAACCTATGATAAAAAATGGTGTCTTAATACGTGTGTCACTTCTAGAGTGGACAACTAAATAGGAACAGAGGGAGTATATGTTCATCATATACATTGGTGCTGGTCAAGTAGACTTCGTTACACAATGATTTTCAAATCCCTTTAGGTATGAAGCAATTTCATGGGAGGGGGTATGATCATGATAAATTCCTTTTATGGTAAATTAAAAAATGAAACAAAAAAAGGATGGGAGGTTACAACAAACATTTGGACTATATAATTAAAAGAGAAGATGGAAAAATCAAAACCATGGTTTAAAAAGAAACTAGGAATGTAGTGCAAAACTGGAAACTGTTAATCTCAGCTTTTTTGAAATGCACAAGTTTTGCAAATTCCATAGTCACAAACAACAGAAACTTTCCTTCTATTCTGATATTTCAGTACACTTTGAGAACCTGGCGTGTATCCAGGGACGCGAACTTGCTATTGGCAGCTTGACAGGAAACTTTACATGATATGGATACCAAAGTTCTTTGTTGCAATAGACAGACAACCTGGCATTTTAAGCTCAAGCTGTATACAAAAAAAAACGCATTGTCGTTTGTCCACCATTTCCATCACTATCCCCGGTCCACACCTGCTGCAAAGACAACAAACTTCTTTTGAGAGACGAGCTTCTAGCACAAAACAGATATTTGTTAAATAAAAAGCCATTTCATGTTGATTTCGGGTCTTTCTGTTTATTTTTTCATAGGGAGGAAGTGCAAAGCAAAATCAATAGTAATATTAGTCCCAACTAGAACCCAGCCACAAAACTGTACACTCCTTGATAAACTATCCCATCTCTTGAAACAAATATTGAAGTGCAACACCCAAACCAAGGTGAAACGCTTCACCTAGTTGGTCTCCAGATAGACATGTCTCACTCAGGAAAAAACTCAAGAAAAGAGGCCTGCTCTGTACGATTACTGTTCAGGTATGACACATGGTTCTCAGCATTTCTGAAGAGCCCTGGGTGATGCCAGAACATACTGCTGATCTTTTGAGTTGTTCAATGAGGTGTATAGTACCTGCTTGTGTCTGGTGGGCTATTTAGAGAGAAACCTCAGGTGTCATGAATATTACTAACATTATTCAGAACTTTAAAGAAAATTGCATTAACATGTTGTATTTTTGGTGAAAAGAAGAAGGTAGAAGAAGTAGAACAGTTGGTAGATTTCAAGGATCTATGTGATAATGAAAATAGCTTGTAATTTTTTTGGAGGTAGCCAGCATACCCTTAATGCAGAAAAATACAACTTTACCTTTATAAAAAAAAAAAAAAAAGAACATTCCCATCTCTTGAAGCAACTCAACAAGAAAGGTCTACTGCCAGGTGATTCATAAATAAAATAATGAGGTCGTGAGAAAAATCATGCATGGGGCCGGGATCTCGTGAAGTTAGTTGAGGTGCACGTGAGCTGGCACGGACACCATGGTTATCAAAAGAAAAAATCATGCATGGGGTTGACGAACATTCAAACTAAAATACTACGCTAATGTCTTAAAAGAATCATTGCAACTATGACAAGAAAAAAGACAGCTGCGGCAATAAGTTCATTTATTCTTGTTTCGAGAGCAACATTTTGAAATAAACTAGGTTAAATATCACCGACACAACCAGGGAAACCTTGCTGCGGGAAATCAGAAATGTGACACATTAAACAAAAGAGATAGAGCTTGACTTCAAGGGATACTTATAGTTCTTTGGGAAGTGTAAACAAATCAATGATGTCCCACATTAAATCTGGAACCATTGCTGACACTACCGAGGCACCATTCCCAATTTTCATCTTTAAATTTACCCTCCTAACCATGTATGTTGGATAAACAGAGAGCAATCAGGTCAGGTCTCCATACAACCATTTTCTTCTACAATTAAGAATGTTAACTTCTTCAAAATGGCCTAAAAGTTCTTGTACTTTTAGTATTTTAATTTATCTTCTAACGATGAGTGCTGGATAAAACTGAAAGCAATCAGGTCAGCTCACGTACTACCATATTCTTTTATAATGAAGACTCTACAGTTAAATTCAACTTCTTTTAAATAGCCTAAAATTTCTTGTACTTTTGGTATTTAGAATGATAGAAAGAGTCTCCTTGAAACTCCAGTCTTACGCAGAGGATTCTTTTCAGCAAGATCTTTCCAAAAGAATATTGTACTTCCCTGAACACTCGGTTTGGATGGTTGTTACGTAATGTATCATAATGTATTGTATTGTATCATACTATATTGTTTTAATAAATACAATGTTGAATAGATTATATCATTCTCCATCGATACATAACGACTCATCCATAATTTGAATAATAAATCCACAGAAAAGTAGGGTACGGAGTAGAGCTACTTGAAAAGATAGGGTAAAAATGAAATAGAATTATTAAATAGTAAAAAGTAAAGACAAAATGAGAAGAAAATACTAAGCATACCATCCAAACAAGGTGTAAGTTATCAATAAATGTTCGGTTCAGGAAAAGTAAAAGATCTACCTGTACATCTCTTCATGGAACCATTTCCGTTCATGGAAATTGGTGTAAGCCGTCTATTCTCCTGACCCAAAGACAAAATCTGTTGTATCCTTTCTGGCCAGACAGAGTCTAGTCTCCGAGCAAAATCCTCAACCTCCCTGCAATATAGAAATACAAAACACATTAGAAATCACACATCTTACCATGGAAACTTTATAAGAATTCTTGCCCCATACAGACGATAGCAGCCCATGCCAAGAGATATATGGAGACATCTCGCTGTTATAGATAGTAATCACACAGACAGAGGCCTGTCACTCCAAAGACAGAAACTCAGACGGAACTCCAACATTATTCAAGGACAAAAAATAGGAAATGACCACTGCTACATAATAAAGATTTATCAACTCTTATACATGCACCATAACACGTGGATGATATGACAGTTCCACATCAATTAAATAAATCCATATATACTATAATAGGTAAGCAGATTACAGCTAGAAGAATCCAAGCATGTTAACATTGCTGTACTTGCAGTTAGCACAATTAGGAAAGCTACCAGTATACAAAATCAAGCAAGACATTAATGCCAGTAAGGGTTGAAACTTGTACGAAGGGAGCAGGTCAAACAAATGAAATAGAGAAAATTCATCGACTTGGATGGACAAAAGACGGATCGTCAAAAGTGTGAACGATATTAGATTCAGTTTTAGAATCTAAAGTTTTTCCCAGGGGATCAGGGATCTATTACACAGGAAAAAGTCAAGCTCCCCAAAAGCATGGGATGTTGGGAAGATTCTATCTCCAACCTTTTCTCTTTCTTTTCTTTTCTTGGTAGAGGGGGTCAGTAATATGCATAACCGGGCTAAGTTAACCTTTAAGCCATACAGTATGCCCTGGAGTATGCAATTCTTCGGGCTTACCAGAGAACAAGGGATATACACAATTCCTTATCAAAAAAACAAAGGGACGGGGGATGTACATAGTTCCTTATCCAAAATATGAAGGAAACAGACAGTTCCAATGAGCTTCTTAGAACAGGTATGCAACCTCTGCAGAAATAGGAAGTGTGGTACACTACTCGTAGGGAAGTAGTTTTCCCTTTACCCAAATAAACATTACCAAAATCTATCAAAAGAGAGAGATATTAACATAAATAATTTTTCACGAGAAATGCAGTCATGCCATATAGTCAGAATAACAAAGTATATCTCTAGAACACTAATACAAGATGAACGAACCTGTCAATTTCTTCCTTCCTTGCTGGATCTAACTCATCATCAATATCAAAATCATCCAAGTCGAGCTTAGATGAAAACATTGCAGATGGTGAGTTTTGCAGCTCAGAATTTCTACTTGGAGAAGACCCATCACTGGTGTCACCATTTAAGCAGCCAGATGTAAGGCAATTAGATTCCTGAGTACCAGCAAGGATCATATCAAAAAAGTAGAATATAGTTACAAGAAACACACTCTTCTCTTACACTGCGAGCATAAAAATAATAGAAAGAAACAGAAAAGAACCTAGAGTACATGAGATACCAACCTTATTATTGTTTCCAGGTTCATTATTTGAAGACGAATTTCTAGCTTGTTCTTTTCTTCCTCGAGATTTCTTTTTATTTTTTGTTACTCTTGCAGCCTTTGAGTCTGCAGAAAAGATAATCATGATACAGTTAAAAGAAGGAACTTGTCACAAACAAGACAAGAACAGAGTTCTCAAAACGATAAAGGATGGTTAAAAAACTATTCTATTTCAGATAGGGGCTTGCAAACACAAAAAGTATACAGTTCCACATAAATTTATTAGCTAACCTACTCATGTGCATCTACTAATGACAAAGTCAAGTCCTTCGGACAAAACTAGATTACAGTATTATAAGGTCCGGCGACCATACAGACTACAGATATGATGATAATGCAGCAAAACATATTTACTTATTTGAAAAAAAAACGCAATTGATTCATCGAAAGCATAAGAAGGCCGGCCCTGATCATAGTTTTGGCAAACTATATACTCCCTCTGTCCCAATTTATATGGTCACTTTCCTTCTTAGTCAATCCCAAAAACAATTCTATATTTAGTAATTTAATTTCAAAGTGCCCATTTTACCCTAAATGAAATGATTTACAACCACACAAATATCTATGACTTATCTTAGACACACAAGTTTCAAAAGTCTTTCTTTCTTAAACTCCCTACGAAGTCAAACTGTCATATAAATTGAGAGGGAGGGAATGGAAGCTATGATGAGCAAATCCACCCCCCAAAAATGTAACTAGAGGTGGTAGTTCAAATATCTTACTTATATAATCTGTAGAAGTTAGTGCAACTCTACACAACAAATGAGAGTGTAAATGAAGTCCACAATTGTACCTTGATCTCCACCATTTATGAATGACAAAAGATCATCAACTGATCTTTCATCTACGCGGGGCTCTTCTTCTACATCAACATTCTGGAAAATCAAAATGAAAATCAGTTAAACATTAATGAATTAATGCAGAATGAGAGATGCATATACAATCACACAATAATTACCGATATAAATAAACATGACTAGAGATTACAACGTGAGATAAATGTCAAAGCACCTTTAGTTTCTTTCTGTCATATAATTCTTTCCTTTTTCTTGCATAGAGTCGATTTAGAAGGCGGATACGTGGATCATCCGTCATATTTCTCAAAGGTTCCAACTTCTCCTCCTGAAGAAATACCACTTCAATGTAAGGACAACCATAATATGGCAGTAGAAGGATATCTAAGTTCTCTGCAAGTGAGACAGACCTCTGTTAGATCATCAGGCAAATGGAAAGTTTCACGTATTTCCTCGGGAGTTTTGCCTTCGATCACCCGAGCAAGTGCACGGCTCGTAAGGTCAACCACAGGCCTTAGCTGAAGACTGTCAGCAGCAGAAGCCAAATCACATAACGTCTTGGTATCTAACCGGACAAACTTCTCATCATGTTTCTTGCGCTCCTAGGTATGTAAATGACAACTGTTACACTTAGTGGAAGCCAAATGATTGAACATCATGTTACATAACCATACTAAGCCCTGATTTTCCTTCATTATGTGTATGAGGTTGTTGTTTTTTTTTGGGGGGGGGGGGGGGGGGGATGCATTGCTTTAGAAGAAGCAAGAAAGAGACCTTATTAGAACGGCCAGGAACTTGATGGAACCGACAAAACTCCAGTATTAACTCTAAGTTAGCAGGATTGACTCGTTCAGGAAGTAATATTGCACAATTTTTCGAAGATCCCTTGCCATTTTGAAGTAATTCCCTGCATATCACAGGGCAAAACATGGCAACCTCTTCCTCCACTTCTTGGATTGAACCATCAGCAGTTTCGAGCCAGATATATGACTTCATCTGTATAGAATTAACAGCAGCGCAAATTTAGCAGAAGATCTTGGACGTTGCCTGATTGAAAAATAATAAAGGGAGATCATTGGAAATGCAATAAAAATCTATTCCCACACCTTGAACAGTGATGCAGGATGTCACACTCCATTCCCATGCAAAAAAGGATTTTGGCCATTATCCAAAAGAATTACTATTTCTTTAGATGTAGAAAGGGATGGTTCCACTTATCTCTACCCTTCATGCTAAAGCTGTCTTTATCAGTTCTCAAACAGGATCATTTTAATGCTTACAATATTTCAGGGCTGTGATCTATATAATGCATCTTGTATCGTGGCACAACATGCCATCAATAAACTAAGAAACACCTAGCTCTTCCATGCAGTATCCAATTCAAATTTAAGATTAAAAAAAAGTATGTAGCATAGCCAGTTCATCTTAACACAAAACCACTACTATTCCCGAATCATGGGATCTCATAACACCTTAAGTTAATGCAACTCACAACCTGACCAAGCAACTGATATAAGACAGCCTTAAAAGGAATGTGATTGGATGAAGATAAAAGGAATAGAAGTTAAGAGTCTCCTAAATTCGTAAAGATCATAACCAAGTAGCCTTTTTTACTAGATAAATACATCCAAGTGTCATTTGAACATAAAGAAGTTATCTCATACCTCTGGTTTGACGATCGCCATAGGACCTCCAGATATCAGCTGATAAATCTGATAAAACTGTTTATTGGCCTTCTCAGAACTACGGTATAAATAAAGTTTCAACCTTAAAAGTGTCGATGTTATGAACAAGACAGCAGCTTTATTCCTTTAGAAGACAAGCATCAGTAACATAATCAAACCATCGTAAGTAAACCTCTCCGAATTCCAACGAGACATGCACCTTCAGGGAGATTGTTTCATCAGTAGTATATTCTTCTTAAAGAAAAAACATAGCAGGTTAATCAAGTTACATAATTAACAAACACTAATTTAAAAAAAAAAACATATGAATCATAATAGAAGGTAAGTTGGTTCATTTCCATTTTTTGCCTATAAGGGTTTTTACTTCTATATGTGCTTGTTTTCCTTACTTAATTGTTCATTTCTATATCAATTCCACCATCACATCCCTCCCCCTAAAGAAATAGGGAAAATTTAGAAGTCGAATAATCAAACAGAAATGTAACAAAATTTAACAGAAATGTCACAAAATTTCACTTCAATTGCTACCCCATGTATGTGCAAAACCTCATCAACATTTCTCCATTAAAACCCAATGAAGAACACAAAGTAACACCAAAAATCAAGAAACGGTATAAAATAAACACCCACCAACTAAAAAAAAACCCAATTAAACAACTCGATTTTTACACGAAATTAACACCAATTCACCGATAAAGAACCAATTTTTTAGTGTAAAACAAGGTAAATAAATTCAGAACATAAAAAAGGTGAAAACAGAAATGAAAAAAAAATACCTCAATAAACAATGCAGTCATCTATGCCGCAACAGAGATAAAAGCTGGAGGATTAAAACAAAAATCCCAGAGAAATAGGTAGGGTTTTAAACTAGCAAGAAAAAGAGAAGAATGAATTTTTTTTTTCTTTTCTTTTTTTGGCTCGACGTTTTTTCTTGATTTTTTTTTCTTCTTTTTTGTCTTTGTTATTTCTTTCTCGATTGAAAGACAAGTAGTTTCTGTAATTGCTTAGGTTTGTTTACCTGATAATAAGGCCCCCTGACTGTCAATGGTGGTTTAGCAGATTTGGGCGTTTAGGGCTCTGTCTCTCAACAAGAATGGTGGCTGCTGCTGGGTTTAGGAAGGAGAAGAGACAGCCTCAGCCTACTGTTTTTTATTTATTTTATTTTCATTTTCATTTTATCCTTCTCTTTTTCTTTTTTTTTTTCTTCAACTTCTTTTGTTTTATTACAAAATAGTCTTGTCACATCAATACCTCATTTACTTTCGTTAAGATAAACAGGTTTGAATATGAATTAAAATTAAGATATCATAATTTGATTATTTGTTTAAATATTAAAATATAGCTTTTACGTCTGAACATTAAATTATTACGATTGTTTATTTTCAATATTTAAATGTGCATGATATTTTTTTAAAAAAATTGATATTAAACATTATATCAATAAAAGTTATAATCTAAACCTAAAATACTTCTTTCAAACAATTGTTTCAAGAATAAGATTATAAAAAAAATAATTTTTTTTCTCAAATTATTTTTTTCTCAAGAAACAATGATAACTTCTTCCAAAAAAAAATTGACAACAAACGAATTGTGACAAGAAGGGTTCTTCATAAATATCAATTCACTCTAGAATATTTTATATATTAGAAATATCAAATAGATAAAAGATTATGAAAACTTATTCAAAAGAAAAAAGAAAGGTATTTCGTTGGAAAAGAAGAGAAAGAAACTTGAAATTTGTCCAGAAGAGAAGCAAGGAAGAAGAGAGTTTTGTTTATGAAAAGAACTATTATTATTTTAATATAGTCTGAGTCATATTAAGACTTTGTTATGGATGTGATTTATTCAGACTCATAAAAATCTATTAAGATTTTTTATTTTTTTTAAAAAAAAGAAACAAATAAACTTAATGGAATGAATCTTAATGATTAAGATTCAAACCTAAAAATCAAATGACCATTAAGTGCAGATAAATGAGGCCTAAAATTATCATTAAGATAGGCTTAGGATGCATGTTGAGTATTTTCATACTGTTGATTTATAAATTGGACGTTGGAGTCACTATGAAAATTAAATGAAAATACTATTGATCTAACTGAGAACAATATTGAATAAGGGAGAGACTATTGACGTATAGAATAAGCTTGTAATAGTAGAAAGCTCACCAAAATAGGTTTAGAATGTTCATTAAGCATTTCCATGTTGATCTACAGATTATGTGTTTGATTCGCCATGGAGACTATGTGGAAATATAATTGTTGATTCTCATAAAAAAGGTAAAATAACAGAGAGATTATTGATTTATAGAATAAGCTTGTGACAGTAAAAAGATCACTACAATAAATTTTGATGCTTGTAAAGCATTTTCATCGTCAATTCACAATTAGGCATTTGAGTCACCATGAAAATACTACTGCTCCTCCTTAAAAAATCATATAAAAAAAGACTATTGATTTATAGAACATATTTGTGACAGTAAAAGACTCACCAAAATAGATTTTGAATGCTCGTTAAGGATGTTAACTATTGATCCATGGAATTTTTCGTTTGAGTAACCACAAAGATTACGTGTGACAAGAATAAGGGAGGGACTATGAAGAGACATAGTATGTTCGGTCATGTGAGATAAAAAGATGATACTGTGAAACAAATAGATGTTCTATGATACACGTAAGTTAGATTAGACGAACTTTTTTAAAATACACTGTATCCAAATATATAAAATTTGCATGTATCTGAAATTTATTGACTCTCTAATTCGCCTCTCTCATTTTTTCTCTCAGCTTGCTTCTATTCCTTTCTTGTTTGTCTCTCTTCATATGTATCTATATTTCAGTTTGTATATGAATTTCACAAATGTTGAACCTATCCTAATCAAGAATGTTACTTGTATTGATGATATCCATAGGGTTAGATGGACATAATAAGAGGTGGATCACATGAATACAATTGAGGATTTAACCTATGTTATAGTAGGTAAATTTTCATACGAACGGCCAAATTTGGAAGGTGTACACATTTAGATACCAAAACAACTCAACGTGAATAGTAATGTTAAGATAAGTTATTACGAAATACACAAGTGGAATTTTACAAGGGACATGAAGAAGCCTTGAAGTGTTATCTTGGAATCAACTCGATTTAGTTTCTTTTAAGAGTTCTTTACAATATGTAGTGCACTTCCTTAGGTAGTGAAATACTTTAAACAAATTTTTTTGACTAACCTAACTTTGATTTGCATGAGAAACTAATTTCAATACAACAAATTAGTTACCAGCAAAAGAAAGATTCATACTAAATATGGACAAATTAGGACTACCTAATATTAGAACAATTGAGAAAAAGTAATGTTTCCCAAGTGAAAATCGATGCTAATTGATGAACAACATTAAAGAAAAGCTTGAACGAATATACATAGACCCTTCGTATAAGAAGATTACATAGTCTTTTACTTTTATGGCACACATATATATAAGATATATAAATAGTCTTAAAACGGATGTCTCATATTAAACCATCTAAACGGAGTCGAACAATATGGTCATAAGCCCTTACATAATATATAAATGCCACTTAGGACTTACAACAATATCTTGAAACAAGTAGAATGAAGTGATCGTCTTTAGACTACAAGAAAGAAACATAGCTAGAGTAATAGCAAGGTATCATCCTTGGACTTGAGGACATACCCACTTGGAGAATGATTCCAAGCCTTTCTTCAAAAGTGGTCACGAACCCTTCAATGATCGAAACCTAAAATGTTTGGGACAAAAGGAGAAATGAGGTTATTACATCACTTGTACTAAGTATAGGCACATATACACACACAACATAGAAATCATGCTAAAAGGGGATATTTGATAAAAGCATGTAAAATTACTTTGAAAAGCCTTATGCATATTCAAGAACTAACACAAGTCAATAAGCACATATTCCTTAAGTCAAGACCATGTACATCACAAGACCAACAATACAAAGGCTAGTCAAGTCAAACATGCATATCAACATAATTGAGCACATGATCAAGACAACTACATCATCAAGTTATAATATCAACAAACATGCAATAGAGTTCATAATGTCATAACCTAAGCAAGACTATTACTCATACACCCCATTAAGTCCACTAATACAATGGCTAAGTAAGACCCCACAACCTCCCTCAACCAAGTAAATCCAACAAGAACTATAAGCAATGTCCAACTTTACATGCTATATCATTAAGAGATAACATCATCATACTTTAGCAATAGAGACCAACCACACGTTCATAAATGAAACCCATATCACAGAGTGTCATTAACACGTACGATCATCATATACATATCATATACAATTATAAGCACATAAAAACATCTTCCTAAGACTTCCTTCAAGGCTAACTAGTGCAATGTATTGGTAGATTCTCATACCCTTACCTAGACTAAGCCAAACCCCTTAGGTCATCCTAGTTAGAGTTCACTTTATTACTTCATTTTACCTTTTGGGAACATCTTGCCTTTACCGACATAGACCACATGAGCTAATGTGAAATCCGATGTCATGGAACCTTACACTGAAAGAAGGTGCACTACTTGCCAAGGTAGTACCAAAATATGAACATAACATCTATGTGTATCCACTATCTAGTATTCCTATGGGGGCAACATAGTTCAAGAACTAGGAGATATAGTTGGGACCCTCTTTATGCTACATGCATTATAGTCTCCAATCTCATGAGTGTCATAGTGATCCTACCTTTCCTATGTGAGAAGGGATACTTCTCGCTCTAATTTACTCGGTGCCAAGTTAGAATTCCTTTTGGAATGTCTTTCATTAATAGTCATAGCTTAGTTTAGGTCATAGGGTCTACCCCTTATATAGTCATTATCATAGCTCAATAGGAATTGCATAAGTATTGTCCTTTCATTATAATTCACACATGTTTAATTATGTTACGCCAAGAAATAGCTTAGAATCACTTGTTGTTTCAAGCATCATGTCTTGACTAGGATGTAGACTTGAGTCGTGAAAATAAGTCTATCGTTATAAAAGTGACTCACATATACTTATTTATCTAAATGAGATTTAAAAAAAATAAATTAAAAAATCATGTAGAGCCATATGTATGATCCTTTTTCCCCATATATTTTTTTACTTCTTTTGTTGTCATTATTTAACTTTCTCGTTTTTATTTTATTTTTTCTTCACCTTTTAGTGTAAAAATATGAGAATTTTTTTTAAAGTGTGAATAAAAAGGACAAAAAAGTAAGGAAAAGAGATATAAAACTATTTTGTAATATATTGTGACTTACCTTTTGATTTGATTTGTAATATAAATAAATGGAGCATACATGCTAAAATTTACAAGAAAATGTGAAAAATGAGGGGGGGACATCAAAATAAATTCAAGTTAGCTGCCAAATCAAAGAAGCCTAACAGAAATAAGCATGAGAAGGTCAAATAAATCCAACATGAATTTTCTTAAGAAAATTTTGAAAAAATAATTTAGATGATTGTTTTCACTTCCTTTAAAGGAAGAGGTAAATGTGTTCATTTGGTAATCATATATGTATATATGAACTATTCTTATTACGAGGGGATATTAACTTAAAATAATAAAATGGAGGGGGGATCACATCATTTTCTCTTGACATAGACACAAATAATTAATAAACTCTTAAAACTTTAAATTTTGTCTAGGCTTCGAAAGTGTTTTAGTTGTAGAGGTTAAATGAAAAAAAAACTTAATTAATTTTATCTTGATTTAGTAAGTAAACAAATAAAGCGGACCTTAATGATTTAGCTTATCGATATTGACTTTTATATATACTAATTCGTGTCAATTAGTAAGTTGTCAGTTGATTTAATGTAAAATTAGTAATTTACTATATGGTGTATAACTCAATCTTTCATGCTTTCTTATTTCACTTTCATTTACCAATATATCAACGTCCAATCAAACAAGACGATTTTTCTAGATTTACTTAAGCAGTTACTATGTAATTATTATAAATCACAATAACAAACACATGAAAGTCTAATAAATATTTATTTAATAAATATGCTGATGAAAGAAAATGAAGATACAATAATCCTTAATGGGTTAACGTCAACTCAATAAGAAAATTAAGTAATCCTTCCTCGCATCTATAAATCGTTAATTACAAAATTTAATTTTTTTATTAATCGTTAATCTGATAATTCCATACTATAATTAATAAACAATTTTTTATAATTTACTTATTAATTATGGGTTGATTTTAAATAATTTGAATATTTTTAATAAGGTAATCAATTAATATGAAACAGAGGAAGTAATTTTGAAGTTGGAAAACATGAAGGGTGGGTAAGATCAGATAAATGTGACTCATTTGAATAATCAATTGTGTATATAACCATTTTTATTACGAGAGGTATATAACTCTAAATAATAAAATTGAGGGGTATATAACTCTAAATAATAAAATTGAGGGGTATATCACATCATTTTCCCTTGAAATAAATACAAAATAATTAATAAACTCTTGAAACTTCTAAATTTTGTCTAGGTTTCGAAAGTGTTTTAGTTGTAGAGGTTAAATGAAAAAAAAACTTAATTAATTTTATCTTGATTTAGTAAGTAAACAAATAAAGTGGACCTTAATGATTTAGCTTATCGATATTGACTTTTATATATACTAATTCGTGTCAATCAATAAGATATCCGTTGATTTAATGTCAAATTAGTAATTACTAGATAGTGTATAACTCAATCATTTCATGCTTCCTTATTTCACTTTCATTTACCAATATATCGACGTCCAATCAAATAAGCCGATTTTTCTAGATTTACTTGAGCATTAATTATGTAATTATTATAAATTGCAATAACAAACACATGAATGTCTAATAAATATTCATTTAATAAATATACTGATGAAAAAAATTATAAATACAATAATCCTTAATGGGTTAACATCTACTCAATAAGAAAATTAAGTAATCCTTCCTCGCATCTATAAATCGTTAATTACAAAATTTAATTTTTCATTAATCGTTAATCTAATAATTCCATACTATAATTAATAAACCATTTTTTATAATTTACTTATTAATTATGGTTTGATTTTGAATAATTTGAATATTTTTATCGATTAATATGAAACGGAGGAAGTAATTTTAAAGTTGGAAAACATGAAGGATGGGTAAGATTGGATAAATGTGACTCATTTATATAATTATATAAGTATATATGAAACATTCTTATTACGAGGGGTATATAACTCTAAATAATAAAATTGAGGATTATATCATATCATTTTCCCTTGAAATAAATACAAAGTAATTAATAAATTCTTGAAACTTCTAAATTTGTCTAGGCTTCAAAAGTGTTTTAGTTGTAGAGGTTAAATGAAAAAAAAACTTGATTAGTTTTTATCTTGATTTAGTAAGTAAACAAATAAAGGCAGACCTTAATAATTTAGCTTATCGATATTGACTTCTATATATATTAATTTGTGTCAATCAATAAGCTATCAACTGATTTAATGTTAAATTAGTAATTATCACACGGTGTATTGACTCAATCATTTCATGCTTCCTTATTTCACTTTCACTTACAATATATCGATGCCCTATCAAACAAGATGATTTTTTTAAATTTACTTAAGTAGTTATTATGTAATTATTATAAGTCATAATAACAAACAGGTGAAAAGTCTAATAAATATTTATTTAATAAATACACTTTTTAAAAAAAATATAAATACAGTAATCCTTAATAGATTAACGTCTACTTAATAAGAAAATTAAATAATCTTTTCTGACACCTATAAATCATTAATTACAAAATTTAACTTTTCATCAATCGTTAAATCTAATAATTCAGTACCATAATTAATAAACTAATTTTTATAATTTACTTATTAATTATGATTTAATTTTGAATAATTTAAATATTTTTAATAAGATGATTGAAATTTTTAAGTTTGGAAAACACGAAGGGTGGGCAAAGATTGGATAAATGTGTAGGCTAGTAGTTCCACTTGGCAACATAGTCTCCAGTCAGTCTGTTCCCTTTTTAATATTTGTTAATTAAATTATGAAAAGGTAATGAATCATGCAGAAGGAGTATCTCATTTAATGTTTGCATATAATAACTAAAGTAACTTGTTGCCATCGTCTCCATATCTGTACAAGAAAAAGAAACAAATCCGTAAAACTCATCATGTGGCTTTTCAAGAGAAAAGGGCCTTCTGGGTTTTCGTCTTCTTCCACTGCTGAGGAAGTTACACATGGAATTGATGGCTCTGGACTTACCGCCATTGTTACAGGTTTCCACTTGATCTCCTTTTCACATTCTTCAAAATTGAAAATTATATATTTAATTGGGTATCGATTAGTATGTATTATTGTTGGTGACATGCAATGAGTGTATGTATGTATTCCCCTTTGCCTTTAAAAAGGTGACGCCTTTGGTTGAGTAGGCTATGGCATTAAGACTGGCGGAATCAGGATTTTTTTTAAGGGTTTCAATGTATAAAGAAGTAAACCCACAGAAATCAAAGGGGGTTCAATATTTGCTAGCATGTATAAATAGTGTAATTTTTCACCAAAGTGGGTTTGGATGAACCATAGGCTCTTACTAGCTCCGGCGTAGGGTATGAAGTATGAACCAAGTAATTTCACCTAGCAAATCTGTGGGCTGCTCTGCTTGCATTTGTTCTTTGTCCTAATCAATGGAAGACATTGGCCCTGCCTAGAGAGAGTGTTAAAACAAAAAGTCTCAAGTTGGTGGTTAATGAGATGGCTAATTCTTATAAGGTTTGAACAATTTTTTCTCTTTGAGCTAGCTTTGGACGTGAGTTATGCCCAAATACTAATTTAATATCGTATTAGCATAGGACCCATCTCACCCAATATTAGGACCCAAAAAATAAAAAATTGTCCAAAATCGCCCATGCACTCTAAACAGTTAATGAATGAGTGGACTCCTTATAAGGCTTGGATAATCTTCCTCTCTTTTCAACCTCATGTATTTGTAGAGTTCTTGGAGTTAGATGAAGAATCCATCTAAAACTACTATGTACGCCTCCAATTTGGAATCTTTCAATCCTAGTAGTTATTTATATGGGTTTTGCTGGACTTCAATAGACAGAATTGGTAATTCAATTTCATTCAGAATCTCCTGATGTACACTGAAAAATAATGAAATATTGAATTCCTTGACGTAGTGAACCAGGCAAGTTCCCTGTCAGAGACCTGGTTACCAATGCTTATTTGGACCAGCTTATGCAATATCCAGTCGGTGCATGCATAGATTGAACTATTGCAGAGGCACGATACAATTACATGCAATTGTAGCTATTGGTGTATAAGTCAAGAAATAAATAAATCCTGCATTGGTTAATTGATCTTTGTTGTACATTCTTAAGTTAACACTTCCTCATTTTCTGTACTATGGCTACTAGTGGTTTGTGATAAACAGCGCAATTGACATTACTACTGTAAGTATGTGTATACAGTTGAGCTTATATCTATTAGGTACAGTGTGCTCAGTATCTTAATTTAGAGACATGAAATGTTAAGATCTAGCAGTATTTAGTTTGCTCATAAACATCCATTTGCAGGAGCATCAAGTGGTATTGGTTCTGAAACTAGCCGTGTTCTAGCTTTGCGTGGAGTTCATGTCATCATGGCTGTCCGGAATATGACTTCTGGAAAAGATGTTAGAGATGCAATAGTTACGGAAATCCCTGCTGCTAAAGTTGATACCATGGAGTTAGATCTTAGCTCATTGGCATCAGTGAAGAAATTTGCTTCAGACTTTAAATCATCAGGTCGCCCGTTGAACCTTTTAATGTAAGTGATGAATAAGAGTGGTAGTCGCATGCCTGAAGATTGCATTTTTACTCCCTCCCAGCCTCCCTCTCTCTTTCAAGTAACTTTGTTCTTCTGCATGAATCTCTTCCCTCTTCATATATATCCTAGCATGTCAATTAACATCATCTATTTCTTTCAAAGTAATAATGCAGGAATCATGGCAACTCCCTTTATGCTCTCAAAAGACAACATAGAGCTGCAATTTGCCACAAATCATGTAGGTAAGAACTGTTTGTTAATGCTTGTTTCTGCGCGAGAAGAGAGCCTGTAATAGTTCCATCATCTTCTTTATTTTATTTTTTATTCAGGCACCAGTTCACTTTATAAATTAAAGCATCTGATCCAAATTTACCGCCCTTCCTAATTTTACTGAAATGAAGATTCAATTCTCGCTTAAAGGAGATCAAATAGTTGATTCTCCATAATTTTGTCATCTTAAGTTTCAGTTATAAAATGCACATGTAAAAGACCATCTGAGACCTGGTTAGAGGACAATTCATGTCCCCTTTATCCCTACTTTGTCATCCAACTCTTCTACAGTGCACACTTGACAAATCTAGTAAGACTGGTAGGAAGTTGTATGATAGGTGGGCAACGTTTTCAAAAGTAAACTTTCAAGAGGGAAATTCATACTTCCTTTTAACTTATCTTATCCATAACTATTCTTCTTTCTTGCCTTTGCAGGTCATTTTCTTTTGACAAATTTGTTGTTGGAGAAGATGAAGGAGACAGCACGTAAAACAAAGAGAGAGGGAAGAATTGTGAATGTTTCGTCAGAGGCTCATCGATTTGCATACAGAGAAGGAATTCGGTTTGACAAAATTAATGATCCCAAAAGGTAATCTTGTTAGATTTTGGTGCCGAACTAAATTTTCTTGATTGTAAGAGAAGCCTTGCTCAAATTCATCACTTGCTCGATGGCTTCAGTGATCACTTTTTAATTTTCACAGTCTAATAGTTCCATGAGAGTGTATAATATACTCCCTTCATTCACTTTTACATGTCCACTTTGGACTTTGCTCGCCCTTTTAAGAAACAATGATTAATATGAGTATTTTACCACAATATCCATATTAATTGACGTATAGTCTTAAGTCTTGAATTGATTTGGGGAATAAGTAATTAATGTTGCGGGTAAAACACAAAAAAACAATTGTCTTTAAAGGATATGTTAAAAGTAAGTAGAAGTGGAAATCTATTTATGGAATACTGAACAAGTAACCTGAGGAAGTATTTTAATATAGATTTCTAATGTTATCATGCCAAGATCACTTGCAATTCATCACAAGTTCTTGATTGACAATCTCTCTTGTTAATTATGGTGCCCTAACTTCTCAACCAACACCTTGGATTTCCTTCATGAGATTTTTATATTTATTGTTTTCACCTGGAGAGTACTGGGTGATACTCTATCTGTATTAAACACCAATATGAATCATTTTCCTTAATATTCAATCACTATATTTAACTGATCACTTGTCTTATTGGTTTCCTTCAAGCTTAATGGTTATTCTGTACTATTCTTGAACTAATCAAAGATGACAAGCATTTTGTGCTCAAGATTGACGATTCTTTGCTGTTTTTCACTTCAAGCTGCATAACTGATATTTCTCCATGATAAAAAATAGTCGTCCCCTGGATATTGATTTTTCAATTTCGGTGTTGTTTTTTATCTTATGTGCAGCTACAACAGCTATGGTGCATATGGCCAATCAAAGCTGGCCAACATACTGCATGCAAATGAGCTTACAAGACGCTTAAAGGTGGATTTTCGAAAAAAAGAATCTTGCAAACTGATTTTGATTCTGATGTCGTAATGGTTCTTGTGTAGTCATGATTGTCTCCATTCCTAGAGGCAAACACATATTTCTTGGGTGTAGATTTGGATATTCTTTTTGGCACATCAAGAAGTTCTTGGTTTGCAGTCTCTGACTTATGTAGCTCTGTCACAGCTTTGGACAAGGGCTCTCCATACCATTCAATTGAACTCTAAATTTTTAGTGATCTTTATTTCAAACAGGAAGATGGAGTAGAAATAAGTGCAAATTCACTTCATCCTGGAACGATCACTACCAATCTTTTTCGTCATATGGGTATTTTTGATGGTTAGTAAGATTCTCTTTTCTTCCTTTTCTATTTAGTAGCTGTTGTCTGATTTTAATATGAATGGTTCGTACAGTAAGTTCACTACTTTATGTCTGGTGCTCTCACTAATACTAATATATGGCATAATGAGCAAAAGGCATTTCCGTTTGTAGATTTGTGGTGTGTCATGCCTTTCTTTCTTTCCTTTTTTTTGGGGGGGTTTCTCTTTGTTTTTACTTTTTCCTTAAGGTGGGTTGGAGAGGGAGGGAGATTGCTAAGAACTTGACCACTAATTTGGAGGAGGAGAGGGGTTTGGAATTGAACCCTTGCATTAAGCAGTTTTGGTCCATCCGTTAACAAACTCTGATTGTTATTAGCGGAAATTGTGAAAAGAAATGATTTAACCAGAAACACCAAGTCTTATCAAGTCCTAGAAACAACAACCTCAAAAACTAGAGCAAACACCAGAAATAGAAAGAAGAAGCAGAAACTTCACCAGGAAAACCAGCACCAAACTTCAGAAAGAGAACGAAAATAGCAGAAACTGCAAAAATGTCACTTCCAAATGTGAGTTCATGGTAATCCTTTTTCTCTCACAGTTAAATTCAACGGCCAGAGTTTGTAATATTTGACGTAGACCAAACATGCTCACTTTTGATTGACTTAGACGACATAAACTGCTCCAGGAGACATTTAAGATACCATTATTTTGGACCTGCCGAAAACATAAGAGGACTATCAGTTTCTCCTATATAGAGTTCTAAGCCCACAAGTCGTTGTAGAATATTTATGTGTAATGTTTGTTTCACAAGCTAAGACAAGCGAACATGAAATATTCCTTTCTGCTCATTACAGGTCTGGTCGGCACTCTTGGAAAACTTCTGCTTAAAAATGTTCAACAGGTATGTTCTGCATCAAAACATTTAAAGTTTTACTGTATGTACAGATTCTTTTGCAACAATGAGGAGAGAACTTTGACATCTTCCGGAGCAAGAAGTTTGGCTCAATAATAATCGGCTAACTATCAGAAGGTTTATATTAGGATTATTAATGATCTTCTCATGAATCAGTTGGAGAAAATTCAACCTTGTCGGAACATTATTTGTATTTCCTTAGCATAGATAAAATTCCCTGCTATATTCGCAGAAAATGGAACCTGATTAAGAATCTTCCCAGAAGGTAAGTCAATATACAAGCCAGAGGATGATTTGCCAATACACAATAACTTGTCGATACACACGACCTTTGCTCAGATGAAGAAAAAGATATCTCTGAAATAGAAACAACCATGATGCCATGGAAATTGATCAGTACTTAACATTCCCTTTTTCCTCTTCTTTAGGGAGCATCAACCACTTGTTATCTTGCATTGAATCCACAAGTGAAGGGGGTAAGTGGTGAATATTTTTCAGACAACAATTTGGCGAAGACGACAGCGTTGGCTAAAGATATGGATTTAGCTAAGAGGCTCTGGGATTTTAGTATGGATCTGATCAAGTAAAATGTTGTACAAAGAAAAACAGAAAAGTAACTCTGTATCTGGTTGTAATTTGTGATGTTGCTTAAATTGCTAAGAGATGAATAACATGACGTGTTCTTAGTATTATCAAATATTCAGCTTGATTTTTTTCTTGTAAACAAAGGTGACATAGATCCATAACGACTTGCCTCTTTGTTTATTGTCACCATCTAAATAATTAACTATTTAAGCAAATAAAATAATCAACACACTATATATTCTGAGAGTAGTTAAACGGGTTCCACAATAGTGTCGATCTCTACAACTTTAGAAACCTGGTTCCAAGGAGTACACAGTGCCCGGCTCTTTGACCATTACTTCCTCCGTTTAAAAAAGATTGACCTAATTTGACTTGAAACAGAATTTAAGAAAAGAAAAATGACTTTTTTATCTTGTGGTTCTAATTTAAAGTTATGTCAAATGTACCAATATACCCTTTAATGTTGTGGTCTTAAACATGCCACGTGGAAAGTTAAAGTTAAAGTGTTGTTTAAAAAGAAAAGGAGTCAATTCTTTTTGAAACAGACTAAAAAGGAAATAGAGTCATTCTTTTTTAAACGGAGGGAGTATATTTTAGGCCACTGCCTTAGGCCTCCAATTTTTGGGGGCCTCAAATTTCTATAAGATAAAATAATCTTGTTTAATTTTTCATGAAAAAGAATTAATTGTTCATAATAAAAAGTAAAAATATATATTCTCTTTGCTAATACTCGTATTATTTTAATTTTTTTAAAACTCCTTTTGCATTCTATTTCTTCAAACCTTTGATATTTAGAGTAATATTCTGTCAAAAATATGAATCAATTGTTGAAAAGTGTTGAACATAGTAAATTACAAATATTCTTTTATTTCTTCGTAATTTTTATATTAAAGTAAGATATATCAAGTTATCAATTTTTTTGAATAAGATTCTATAATTTTGACTCTTATCTTTATTTAAAATTTATCAACTTATTACTTAAAGAACTACATTTTCGATTCATATAATAATTTTTTCTCAATAAAATAATGTTTTCGATGTAGAATTGATAAAATCTTGCTTAAAAAATAATATCTTAAAAATGTATTTGAAAAAATCATTAATAAAAAAGATATTAAGTAATAATTTACATCTAAAATTTTTAAAAATAAATAAATACAAATAATTTTTAAAAAATATTTAGGCCTCTAATTAAAATTTCGAATTATGTTGAGCTGTCCCTGCAATTATACATCAAATTAAAGCGTCTGCCACTAATAATACTTCATTTATTTATTTATTTATTTATTTGAGAGCAATCATATAAGGAGAATCCTAGGCCTGCCTACGTGGCGTCATCACAAGTCAGAATTTGCCTTAAATTTATTTTATTTTTCAAAATTAGCATTTTCTTTATGAAAGTCGTGACTTTTATGAAAAATTATAATTTTTATGAAAAATTATAACTTTAATGAAATGTTGCGACTTTTATGAAAAGTTATAACATTTATGACTTTTATAAAAAATTATAAATAACATTTATGAAATGTTGTGACTTTAATGAAGAGTTACAACCTTTATGAAAGATTATTACTTTTTCGAAGAGTATCAACTTTTCTAAATAGTTATGACTTCTTTGATAAGACACAATAAATATTTATTAACAATATCCTTTATTGTTTATAAATAGAGAAATTTTCTCTCATTTTAAAACAAAGAAAATTTTGAACCTCTTATTCTTCTTCACAATTAAATAAATATTGCTCATGTTGAGTGGCTTACTGACACAATTGCTTATGTTATAAATCCTGATATGTATTTTTACAATCATGAAATTATACTTATTTTATTAAGAATAAATAAATGATAAGATGTGAGTAATAACTTTCATTTTCCATATAATTTTTTTTAGTTTAATGCATTATAGGTTTTAAATATTATTTTTATAAATTCTATAATAATAAATTCCGACTCGAAGCGCGAGTTATTTTACTAGTTTATATATAAAGGAACGCGTTTAAACACGGTACCCGAAAACAATTCTGAAGCAACGGGAGAGAAGTAAATAAACTACTGGTTCCTGTACTATGTGGGTTTTTAATAGATCAAAAGGGCGATCTGGGTTTTCCTATTCCTCCACTGCTGAAGAAGTCACCGATGAAATCGACGGCTCCGGTCTCACCGCCATTGTTACAGGTGTTTACTCCATTTTCATTTTCACTTTTGCTAGCATCCAATTAATATTTGTTTGTATCACTATTTCTTCTAGGTCTACGTTTACCTCTTTGTTTTAACAAAAATTAAAGTGTAATCTATTCATTTCATGTTGAAAAATCTGTGCTAGCTACTTGCATATAATTTTTGTCCTATAGATCCGTGGCTTTGGCTTGAGAACCATGAGGTTTTAGTTCAAATCCCAGCAGAGACAAATATTAGGTAGGTGATTTCTTTCTATCTATCTGTCCTAGTTTAGTGTACAAAGTTACCCTATACCTGTTGCTGATGGACTGACCGTAAATGACAACTACTAAAAAGATATTGTCACAACACCTATTGTACTTAAATTATATTGTATCTTATCCTAACATTCTTCGTTAGGTAATGAAAGAAAGTCCCATTTTGTGTAACGACTTATTTGGTGTGATTGAGTTATTAACTTATTTTGTCTTATTCTATCTTTTGTGCCACCTTTTTATAGCGATGCCCTACTTTTCCTGGTGGTTTATTCTTCAAATTGTTGATGTGTGTCATTATGTAATGACGAAAAACAGTACAATCTATTCAAAAGTTGTGTCGTTAAAACAATATTGTACGATACAATACAATATGATACACTATGAAAGAATACGTAATTACCATCCAAATAGAGTATAAAACAATGAGCAATTGTAGGTTACAATTCAATCATCTAGGAGGCTGCATTCGAACCACTTGAATGCTTGCGGTCACTCGATTCAAGCCAATTCCTTTCAAACTAATTCTAGCCCATAAGTACAAGGGTTTTTAAAAGAAATATCTTGTAATAATGTTCTTGAAGTGAATAATGTTACTACTCAAATCATCTGGTACGAAGAATAGACAAAGTGTAGAGCTGAAATGAACTTCAACTCACAAGCTTTTGTTCTTCAGTTTGATCTATCTCACGCTCAATATTTGCTTCTTACTTTAGCTTTCTCAATTTTTTCAATATGACAGCAGACTAATAATATATAGGACAGACATGAGAGGCAACGTTAGATGAACGAAGCATGAAGAAGAATAAAATCACAGTACTCCTAATATTATCCTACTTGCTTATTAGACTGAGACTCCACATTGATGAGTGTTTTCTTTAGCAAGAAGTTAGCAGCAATTTGTTTGCTTTTAATTATCAATCTATTTGTAGGAGCATCAAGGGGTATTGGTGCTGAAACTAGCCGTGTTCTAGCTCTGCGTGGAGTTCATGTTATCATGGCTGTCAGGAATATAGCTGCTGGAAAAGATGTTAAAGAAGCAATAGTAAAGGAAATCTCAGCAGCTAAAGTTGATATAATGGAGTTAGATCTTAGCTCATTGGCATCAGTAAGGAAATTTGCAGCTGATTTTATATCATCAGGTCACTCATTGAACATGCTAATGTAAGTCACAAATACGAGTGGTAATTAATCACATAGTCTTGAAACTCTGAAAGACGACATTTTGCTTTTTCTCCCTATATAGTTTTGGAAGAATCTTTATATATCTATTGATGTTACTTATTTTCTGTTAGTAATAATGCAGGAGTGGTGGGAATTCCCTTTATGCTTTCCAAAGATAACATAGAGCTGCAATTTGCCACGAATCATCTAGGTATGGTTGTGCGTTAGGCGTATGTTTCTGTACACGACATTTATCATGCGGTGCCTTCCTGAGATGTCATGGAAGGGCAACGTGAGGTAAAGTAATTGATTTCCATATGATTTGTCATGCGGTGCCTTCCAACTGCCTTTCCACCTTCCGTTCAATCGATTAGACTGTTTGTACTGTACAGGGAATTTAATATCAAGATTATAGGATGAAGAAAAGCATGAAATGCACATATATAATAGTAGACCATATGAGACCTGAATTAACTTGTATATGTAACAGTGAAACAAGGGAGATTCTAAAATCACACTGGTAATAGGCAGTTTATATCTGCTTGGTAGTACGTCATAGGAGATGATAGGTGCCTGTTGATGCTTAATTCGAATTTGTAAATTTCAATAGGGACATTCAGTTTGTGGTTCCTGTTAATTTATTTTGCCCAAAATTGTTCTCTTTCTAATTCCCTGTGTTTGCAGGTCATTTTCTTTTGACAAATTTGTTGTTGGACAAGATGAAGGAGACAACACGTAAAACAGAGAGAGAGGGAAGGATTATTAATGTGTCTTCAGTAGCTTATTGTATGTTCACATATCGCGAGGGAATTCGCTTTGGCAAAATTAATGATCCCAAAAGGTAATCTAATCAAATTTCTTATGTCGAACTTCCATAAGTTATCTTGATTGTAATTAATAGAAGAGAGGTGTTCACTCCAATCACGTCATTTGATTGTTCAATTATCTTATTTGGTGTCCTTCTATCTCGATAGTTGCTCATTGCTACTATTGAATTAATCAAGATGACAAGCTTTTCGTGCTCAAAAAATGCTGTTCTTTTCACTTCAAGCTGTATAACCATGATCAGATTAACATGATAAATTTAGGCTTCTCCCATGGAAAATCGTTTTTTCATTGTCTATGTTGTTTGTTATTTTATTTGCAGCTACTGTAGTTTTTGGGCATACGGACAATCAAAGCTGGCCAACATACTGCATGCTTATGAGCTCACAAGACGCTTAAAGGTGCTTTTCAGAAAATAAATAATCACATGTTTTTTTTTTGTGTTCTAATAATTTTTGTTTTGGCGGTTCTTGTGTAGTCATGACATGTCTCCATTCCTCGCGACCAAACACATATTTCTTGGAGTTGATATTTGGTATTCCATTTTGCACATTGAGAAATCGTGATTTAATTTCCAGTATCTGATTTCTGTAGCCACAGCCATAGCTTTGGCTTAGGGGTTCGATGCCATTCAATTGAACTCTAAAAATCTGAGTGCTCTTTGTTATTTTGAATAGGAAGGAGGAGTGGAAATAACAGCAAATTCACTTCATCCTGGAACAATCACAACCAATATGTTTCGTCATCTGGGCATTTTTGATGGTAATAATAAGATTTTCTTTTCTTCCTTCCTCTATGGTGTCTAATTAATATGATGCCATTCTTAGCGAGTTATTATCTTCTTTATATCTGAAATAAAGCCTTTTATGCTCTCACAGTCTCACTAATAGTACAACAACAACATAGTGTAGTCTCACACAGTGGGATGAGGGGAGGCTAGAGTGTACACAAACTTTATCTCGAGAGGCTTTGAGGTAGAGAGGTTGTTTTCTATAGAACCCCGACTCGAGACAAAAGAAGTCTAGAAAAAGACATAATGGACATTACAAGAGACAATTAATAGTAACAAAAACAACAGATAATTACAGAATAATACTACAAATGAACTACACGAAATAATAGATAGTACACGCTAAATTGCATATTTAGCAAATGTGAAGTATTCCTGTATGTTTATTTTATCGAACTAATACTCCCTTTTCTATATGATACAGGTCTTGTAAGCAAGTTTGGGAAGTTTATTTTTAAAAACGTTCAACAGGTATGTTCCACATTGAGACATTTATGAAATTTGCAGTACACACACACACACTCTTATGCAAATTTATAGAATTTTCGACATCATCCGGAGCAATTTTATAGATTTATTTTTCCATTTCATCTTCTCTATATAGGGAGCATCAACCACTTGCTATGTTGCATTGCATCCACAATTGAAGGGGATAAGTGGTGAATATTTTTGTGACAACAATTTGGGGACAACAACAGCTATTGCTAGAGATATGGATTTAGCTAAAAGGCTCTGGGATTTTAGTATGGAATTAGTTAAGGAGTAACATGTAAGATGTTGTACCAGTAAGAGAGAAAAAATAACTTTGTATTTAATAGTTTGTGATGTTTATTTTTGTATCATATAGAGAAATAAGATGTTGTACCTAACTGAGAGTGTTCACCGAAGAAAAAGCTTTTTCGAGTAGTGAGGAAGATTCAAGATTTAAAGTGTGTTTAGTAGGGGGATAAAAACATTTTTCGGTTTTTTAATTTTTTCATGTTTGGTTAACTTAAAATTTTTGGAAAATGTTTTTTCAGACAACTCGTTTTTCTCAAATTTGAGGAAAATGACTTTTCTTCCAAAATTAAAGAAAATATTTTGTAAAACTCTATCTCATTCTTTAATTTTTTTTTTCTTACCCAACACATACACCGTACCCAACTCTCCCTATTCAAAAACAAATAATAAAATTTTTGAACTTCTTTTATTTTTTAAATTTCAAATATATTTTTATTTGTACCTCCAAACAGGCCCCCGTCCCATCGAAAAATATGTTTTTGAAAAATATTTCAAGTTTTTCAACCTATTGAGTTCAAATTTTTTAAAAAATCATCTATTATGCCCCCACCCCCACTCTTGCCACCCCCATCAATTTTGTTTTTTCTAAAAAAATTGTTTTTGAAAAATTTTATTTTTTATTCCACCTCCACCCAAATCATTTTTTCTATCAATTTTTTTAACTTTTTTTTTTTTTTGAGAATTACAATTTTTTTATTATTATTTTTACGCTAACACCTCCCCCCTCCCCGCCGCGCCACCCCCATAGCCTCTCTTTTTTTTTTTAAAAAAAAAGTATTTTTGAAAATTTCATTTTTTATGTCACTCCCACCCAAGCCCATCCTTATCAAAAAATATTTTCGAAAAAAATATTTTCGAGAAATATTGCAAATATATTTTTTTTTTCATTTTTGCACAATATCCATCAAAAAAAAATTGGAGCAGGTGTGTGTAAGATCTCAGGGTCGAATTTTGGAATGGTCATAGGGATTTTGTCCTACTTTGATGTCAGGGGGTCCTAAATTAATTATCTAGGTTGATTTTTGGATCAGAAATTATTTTTCTAGAGAGTATTTTTTTCAGTCTCGAGCCTAAAAAAAAAAGATATTTTTTGAAAAATATTTTTCATTTACCAAGCAAACATCACAAAAAGAATTTTACTCACCAATTAAATATAAAAAATAAAAATAAAAATCTACTTATTTTTCAAGAAAATATTTTCTACCAAAACACACCCTAGTAATTTAGCGCGGCCCCAAAAAAAAACATTTGATATCTCAAGGTAGAATTGTTATTCATTTGTAAAAAGTGAAATTGATATGGCTTTTCATAATTTTTTTCTTTATACGAATAAAATATTTTTTAAGAAAATATTTATCTAATTATATTTTTCTCCCAAAGTCGTTTTGCTTATTTGGTTGGACGGACATGAAGAGAATGGAGTGCTAGCATGCCAATCATATTGTAAACGACAATGATATTCACATGTTTTTTAAAGTTCAAATTTAAATTCTATTTAAAGTTTTAAATATTAACATTTAGAATCACAAAACGTGATGTACTTAGTATTGTATCATCAGAATCATCATTCAGTTATGGTGGACGTATTTTTACCAAGTATAGAAATTAAATCATTCTTAAAAATATCCAAACACTTTTTGCTACTCGAAATCGGTTGGATGATTTTTCTCAAGTTGATAATTTTTTTTCAATGTACATTTTAATATTATGTGTAGTTCGTAATTTAGTTATTTTTTAATGTTTAACTAATTGATATTGCATAGAAACTGTAGATGAAAATAAAAGATGTCTTGTCGATTTTTATGTTAACATTTTTAAATTATAACTTAATTTTAAAAATAATTAAAAATATACTTTTTTAAAAAAAAGTGAGTTGTCCTAGCATGACTTGTTGTCTACATAATTGTGGGTTGGATCAGTTATTTTTTTGACGCACAAAAAAAATGAGTCATATTGGTTTGACCGATTAAATTTCAAAGCATATATAGCTAGTTTAGTCGGTGAACCAATTCATATTGACAATTTTAGTAATGAGTATACCATCAAAGAAGATTGCTCATCTCTTAAATAGAGATCTTGAGTTTTAAATATAATTTTTTTTTTTAATAAAAAGTACTTTCATCTTTGGGTAAAAATTTATTTATGTATTATGCGTTTTTTAATCTTTCGAGTAAGAAAATATATAGAGATTTAACAAACAAAAAAACAAAAATCACAATATAGTAATGAGTAATGCCATCAATATCCGTGCAAGCTGAGTTTTTGTCTGTTGCACCATTTTCTCAGTTGCACAATTTTCCATAGCTAGTGAATAGAGTGAGTGATACAGAAACAAGCAGAGCAGCAAATTGAACCTTAAAACTATGTGGCTTTTCAAAAGAAATGGACCATCTGGGTTTTCGTATTCCTCTACTGCTGAAGAAGTAACCCATGGAATCGACGGCTCCGGTCTCACCGCCATTGTTACAGGTACTTTCACTTTTTGGCGGCGTATGTGTTTTTACCGATTAAACTATAAATCATTCAATTTCACTTTGATAATCTGTTATTCATGCGTTGATTTTATTTTGCCCTGACCACTGTTGCAACGATTAATTTGGTCGTCGAGTGATTTTATTGATATAAAAATTAAATTTGAGTTGTTTCTATTTTATAAATTATCAAAATTGAGTGATCTTTGAACTCATTTTTTTACTTGTACATTTTGTATAAACCACAATCGATGTGATGTCATGTTTAGATGAAATCTTGTAAGTTTTTACAATAAATATTTACATGAAAAGATCAAAAAAAATTGTTTGCCTCTCCAAATGTTATAAACATGCATGGATCCATTTGCAGGAGCATCTAGTGGTATTGGTGCTGAAACTAGCCGTGTTCTTGCTCTGCGCGGAGTTCATGTTATCATGGCTGTTAGGAATATGACTGCTGGAAAAGATGTTAAAGAAGCAATAGTTAAGGAAATCCCTGCTGCCAAAGTAGATGTAATGGAATTAGATCTTAGTTCATTTGATTCAGTGAAGAAATTTGCAGCTGATTTTATATCATCGGGTCACTCATTGAACATCTTAATGTAAGTGAAGAATAAGAGTACTAATCAGATTTGCCATTTTGCAAGAATCTCTATCTCCATAAATATCTACTAACATTATATCTTGTCATTCTTAAGTAATAATGCAGGCGTGATGGCAATTCCCTTTATGCTCTCCAAAGACAATATAGAGCTGCAATTTGCCACAAATCATCTAGGTATGGCTGTTAATCACAACTATTACGTGTTGAAGACGAGAATAATCGGGTCATGCTATGGAGAAGACATAGAAAGTTGAAGTCTAGAAATAGAACAAATATCTTAGATAGTTGCATCTTTTCTTTCCACGAATAGTTCTGCAAGAAAAATGATAGCATAAGGTTAAATGTACTATCTCCCTACCAGACAATGGTGTGCGTTCAAAATATGAAAAAGTAAACACACGAAGAAGCTAATGGGTACATAAAAAATAATTTTAACTATGTATAAATAGTGCGGAAACATCGCTGAATCCCAGCTTCCTGATAATACTAAAATGAAGGTTCAGTTTTCCCTTAAAGGAGATCCATGATCGAGTTGTCAATACTTTTTCAACTTAGACTTCATTTGTTAATGTGGACGGAGAAAGCCTTTTAAGACCCGAATTAGCGTAGATGTGCAACAATGATACTAGGGAGACAAAGCATGATTTTAAAATACTACTGCTTAGGCTTTCTATGTTGAAGCCAGTTTTATTTGACGTAGAAAGCCTTCGCCCATACTTTGTCATCCCATTTTCAGTCACACAATACATATGTAACAGATGTTACAAGGTTTGGATTTGATGTACTACAATAATAGATGAAAGATGCGCGATGATTCTATAATTGCACTTTTAAGAGGGAAAATGCATACCCACTTAATCATCTTAGCCATAATTATTCTTTTTTTCTTGTGTTTGAAGGTCACTTCCTTTTGACAAATTTGTTGTTGGAGAAGATGAAGGAGACAGCATCTGAAACAAAGAGAGAGGGAAGGATAGTCAATGTTGCATCAGACGCTCATTATGTTACATATCGTGAGGGAATTCTGTTTGACAAAATTAATGACCAGGAAAGGTAATCATAATTATGTTTCGGTATTAGTTCAATCAAGTCTATAAGAGTGTGAAGTTCAAATGTCAAAATATCTACCAGTGCCGTTATGTATTTATTACCTGCAAGATGCTTAGTAACTAACTATCCACCTCACTACAAATCACTCTTAATCAGTGCTTATCCTCGTGACAAATATAGTAAACTAACAGCCTACTTATCCATTCTCAATTAAAGGAAACCTCCATTTGCTCAGAATCATTGCTTCAGTTGCTTGATGACTTCTGTAAGAATATGGGATAGTTCTGTCTTACAGCTCCAGAATTTCTATGCTTGCTGTGTTCTATTGCTGTACCTTCTTGGTACTAGCTACTATAGTGAAATTTATTAAGAAAAACACACATTTGGCCATTGTAAATTCATTTATACTTTTTGTTGTTTCTAACCTGTTTGCAGCTACAGAAAGTTCTCGGCATATGGCCAATCAAAGATGGCTAACATACTGTCAACATATGAGCTCGCGAAGCGCTTAAAGGTGTTTTCTCAGAAATATATCTTACATGCTGCTTTCTCATCTTATTTTCATATTGGGTTTATGTGTAACTCACAGTTTTGCTCCATTCCAAGAGACAAAACACATATGTTGCTTGGTGTGGGCATTTTGGTATTTCCTTTTCACACTTCAAGAAATGCTTGGTTTGCAGTTCCTGGCCTCTGTATTCAATCATAGCTAGAGCTGAGGGGTCCATGTTATGCAACTAAACTCTTAAGAATTTTAGTTGATCTTTACTTTGAACAGGAAGACGGTGTGGAAATAACTGCAAACACACTTAATCCTGGAGCAATCTCAAGCAATCTTTTCCGTCATATGACTATCGTTAATGGTAATAATATTCCCTCTTTCTGCTTTCTTTTCCTTTCTCCTTTTCGTTTAGTACCTGCTTCAAATTGTTATAATGGAATGTGTAGCGCGTTATGCCTTCTTTCGATATCTCAAATCGAGCATCTAGCGCTAACTGATGCTAAATCATGACATGGCAGGCAGATGGCATTTGCCTTTTGTTTTGTCTTTCAATATCTTTCTCACTTCTCAGCTCTGTTTTGGTTGAGTTTCTAATTTTTACTGTTTTGGCCTAAAGAGAAGCTTTTCATAACGTCTGTTCTCTACTTATTGTTGGTTAATGCTACGTCTTCTGTATGGCCCAGGCTTAGTAAGCACGATTGGAAAACTCCTGCTTAAAAATGTTCAACAGGTAGGTTCTACATGAATTAGTTAAGTTGCAAATTGTTTTGGAAGTGTAAACAGGTAAGGCAAATGATCAGTTTTTAACTTCCATTTGTTCGTCTTCTCTAGGGAGCATCAACCACCTGTTATATAGCATTGAATCCACAAGTGAAGGGGGTGAGTGGTGAATATTTTCAGGACAACAATTTGGCCACCCCATCGAAGAAGGCTAGGGACATGGATTTGGCTAAGAAACTCTGGGATTTTAGTGTGGATTTGGTTAAGTAACAAACAACATATATCAGTAAGTAAGTTGTGGTGTGCATTAGTCGGTTTGATTCGATTCTATGTATTATCGGTTTTCAATTTTTAAATAAGCTAAACCAATAATAAAATAATAAGATATTTTTTATCGTTTATCGATTTACCCAATAAGAAAATGTTCATAAAATATATATATATATATATAATTTCTCACTTCTCTATTTGACATAATACAATGAGACAAGCAAATCAGCTTGTATGTTTTGATACAGTGAAACAGGAAATATAATGAAAAATTGCATGTAGTATGAAGACTACAAAACATAATATGGAATAAGTAGAAGTACGTATTATGATGTGTGAAGTGTGTAGATAGTAGTACATACTCAAACAGTGTCTAGTTATCGTTTTAATGATTTATCTGTTTATCCAATAATTCAATATTAAAAAACATATCAAATCAACGAGTCAATAATTTTTTTTTTGTAAAATCATTAAAAGTTGACCCAATAACATTATTTTCCATTCGACTAATAACATTTTTTTCAATTCGATTTATGCACGCCCCTCAGTTAAATATGGATTTGGTGTTGTATTTTCAAATTTAACTCATGTTTCCGATATTTAAAATCATAAAATTCAAAAGTCTCCATTTATTTCGTAAACTTGGTGTCTAGTTAACTGATTGACACTGATATTTGGTAGAGGAAGTGATACAACAACTTACGATAGTAAATATGACAATTTTAAATTCGTAATAACAACTTAGTTAGTTAATAGCCCTGCAGTTTGTTCTAATCTCTCCATTAGTTCCAGTAAGTGGACTAATATTCCCCATCTTCACCATAGCTGCAGCAAAATCACTTCTAAAACTCGCACCATTGTTACTATAACTCCTCACCAACGCATCCTGAGATCCACCGTTAAACAATTCCTGATCCGAGTGAAGCAACCCACGCCGAACCACTAGGTTCTGATAATAATCATTATCGAACCGGTTCGGAGTCTGGATATCCAACGGGGCCAAATTGGCGTCGCCGCCGGAAGCAGGGCAGGTAGCCCTGCGCGTGGCGGCGAACTGCGGGTCGATGTTGGTGTCGTTGTAGATCCGGTTTCTGAAAGTGGTGCACCGAGCCTGGCCGATCGTGTGGCTGCCGGATAGTGCCGTCATGTCACGCGCACTTAGGCCTTTGGCGGAGAACATGGAAATTAAAGTTGCAAGACTGGAAGATGGTGCGGGGATTTGGGTGTTGGCGGCGCTTTGGCTCGCGGTCCTTGCGTCTCTTCGGCCCAATGGCACTGCCCATGATGGCCCTCCAAGCTACATAAACAAATTAATTCAGGAAATGTAACATTAATCATGCTTGGTCGAATTCATAAACAAATTCTTAAATTTGTTAGATTTTTGTCCTTAGGTATCTCAACTACGTCATTTTTCTATTAAATCATTGAATCACCCATAATTTGTTTCTTTTAAACATCGTTAGTTGATTTTGATCGACTATTCTATTATAAATGTCTTCGATTGTGTTCGTATTGTAATTTTTTTTTACTAAAGAATGACGACAAACTGTGTTAGTTTCACTTGTATTCTAATATATTCAAATGACTTGAAATAAAACATCATTACTCTCGAACATTTTCATTGTTAATTGGACTAATGAGTTCTCGAACAATATATGTACCTTCAAAAATTTGATTTCACATCAGCCAACAGTGTTTGTTTAAAATGAACAAACTATCGGCGGTTCAACGATTCAATAGGAAAATGACATAGTTAAGGTACCTTAGGAAAAAAACCAAACAAGTTTAGGATTTATTTATGTATTTAGCCATCATGTTTTATTGTGAAACTTTTTTTTTTATATATATATATATTATTTTCAAAGTGAAAAAAATAAAAGCATCGTAAAAGTTAAATGTTTCTAAATAAGGAAGCATGAAAATTGTGAGGTCAGTATTGATAAAAGGATTACTAACCAGTACGGTGCCTTCTCGAGCAGCAAGAGCAAGAATATCCGCACAAGAGATAACGTTAGGACAAGCAGCTTCAACTTGAGTTTTAATGGTGTCTATCACTTCATATCCTCTTGCTGAATTTCTGTTTGGATTTGCATTCTTTTCTCCTATAAAAGTTGATGTGTCATCCAGTAGTATTGATGCATCGCACCCCTAAAAGTAATAGAAAATTACACAGTAGAATAAAGCAAATGCTTTCTGAATTATATTCCTTTCAAATTTTTAAGAAAAGTGCACAAGTATTCCCTCAATCTATGTTTGAAATTTTAAAAACAGACTTATACTATATTAAGATTCTATTACTCCCTGAATTTATTTTATAAATAATTTTCTACCTCTTTTTAGCCTACGGGACACTAATTTTAAAAAAAAAGTCAATCACTGTTGGACTTACAAAATAGTACAATTTAAGACTCTGAAATTTGTGATCATATATATATGTGTGTGTGTGTCATAACAATAACATCTAAGTAACTATAGATTCATATCTATTTCAAGAGAAAATTATTATTCTGTTAGAAATGAACTAAGAAACTATTGTAGCATAGTATCCGTTTGGATTGACTTATTTTAAATATTTTAAAGCCAAAATAGCTTTTAAGTAATTTTAAAATGTTTGGATAAAGTTAAAAAATATTTATATTAAATCCAAATTAACAAAATAAACCAAAAGTACCACCTCAAATGAGGAAGTATACATTAATACTACATTATATAGGCCCCACTCATCAATATATGTTGTATTTTATTAAAAGAGTGTACTTTTATATCAATAGATAAAAATAGTACTCTTAAATGTCACATATATACTAAATTTCCGCTTTGCGGAGTTTTAGATACAATACAAAATCGTTTCCACATAATAAATAAGATATATTTTGTGATCGATAACAATGAAAATGAAGATAGAAATAAGCTTACGTTAACGAAGCAATCATGGAAGAACAATCGAAGAATAGAGGCACCAAGTCTGGCCTCTCTATTCACAGCTTGTGTCATTGCATTTCTTACAATTGTCTGCAGATTAGGGCACGACGTCCCATAAAAATTGGCTGATAATTGGGCATTGCTAAAGCTAACAACAAAGCACAATAAAACACACAAAAATGCCAAAATGAGGTTCCTATTTAGAGACACCATAATGCTTAAATATAAACAAATTTAATATCTTTTAGAGCAAAGTAAAAGAACTCTATGATATTTGTATAATATGACCATGCATGAGGCCCTTTATATACAAGTAAGATAAGATACGTACATTGTTCATTGAGTGACATAAAAAGTGCAAAAGTCAACTTTATTTTAAATTTTATCGTTTACTTTTTTTAGAGTAAGCAAAGTAGTAGCAAGAGAGAAAATTTCATGTGAACAAATTAAAGTGAGGATTTATTCAAACTTAGCTGCTCCAACCGCGTTTTTATTCACTTTGATTTGATTTGATATATGCAAACTCGAACAGATATACATATATTAAGGATTGTGTTAAATATATATGGTGAATTCAATATAATACGAATTATTCATGAACTTTAAATATATTCTAAAAGAGAGCTAGAAGTCGATATATGAGTTCAGTTGAATATATTATAGGTTTAGATGAGATTAGGGGTGAAGCAAAAGTTTAAAATTTCGACACATATTTTATATTTATTTTAAAATTTCATGTAATATGTATATATAATTTATTATGAGCAACCCAATGAAATTATATTTTTCAGAATGCAGACTTTTTAATTTCAAATTTCTATCTTTGATTTGCTTCTAAATTTTAAGATAAAACTCATTAAGTATATTCATGAGTTTAAATTTATAACCTAATTAATTACGAACGATTGATATTGTCATCTTACTCCCTCCATCCACTTTGATATTTTCTATTATACACTAAAACATCGTTAAATTAATTAATAGCTTTTCTAAGATAATGTTTTTCTCCAATTCCGACTTAGGGTAATAGAAAAATCATCACTCATTTTGATGATATAATAAGATATATATTTTGATCCATATATAAATATATGATCGCGATTAATATAATTATAAAGTAATAATTTTAAAAATGCAAATATATCTAAGACGATTTAGTGAAATGTGATTCTATTTTGTTCCCTTTTTTTTTTGTTAAATTTAAATCTAATTGAACCTAATTATCTCTACTTTTCTTATTGCATCCAAAAGTTTCGGTATTGTCTTTTTGAACTGCACCATAAAATTGAGAAGAGTTCTAAATGCGATATGTGTTTCCTTAGCGTAACTGGATCCCAAAATATTGTATCATCTTCAACTTTATCATCAACATTTTTTTTCAATGGTATCTCCAATTTCTTCAAGCTCCGAACCTTTGAACATGTGTCATTTTCACTCATCCAACAAGTTATTGACGTTCATTTATCGCGGTAATCGTGATCGTTATATTAATCATGACCTTAAGTTCATGAATGACGTTTTCACAAGTGAGTTTATTTATTAAATACTCCAAGATTTCATCCCCCAACAAATTTATGATATCAAAACACACTTTTTAAATTAATAAATATTAATTTATTGATTAACCAATACTTTTATTAAATAATAAAATTTTATGGTATCAAGATGTCTCTTTTTATTTGCACAATTTTATTTTTTTTAAAAAAAAAAACTAAAAGATAATTATCACTAGATGAGGTAGGTACCTTAAATTTGGGGGACGGTTTGACTTCTATTTTTGTATACATATTAAGTGGATATATTTCATTTTCTACTATAAATATAAATTACATGCAAAAAAGACACAGAATATATATAGTAGCTATATTTCATTTTCAAAGAAGTGTTATAGCTGCATGTCCCTTTTATTTATTTCAATTTCAATTTTCATCCGCAATTGATATATATATAGTCACTCTACCTATTAATTCTTGTTGACTAATTATATAGCAATAGCCAATTCTACTTCATCCTCTTCTTAGCATTTATTTATTTATAACAAAATATATACTTCCTTCGTTTTATAAAAAATGATTTTATTTTTATTTGATGCAGAGTTTAAAAATATAAGAAAGATTTTTAAATTTTATGGTTCTAAATTAAACGTTAAGCCAAGTATACAAAATTGTTCTTTGATCTTGTGACCTTAAATATGTCACGTGAAAATCTAAAGTTAAAATGTTTAAAAAAAAAGAGGTCATTCATTCTTTTTTAAACAAATAGAAAAAAAAAATTCTTCTTCTCTTGTTAAACTAACTCTATGTTTGGATCATTGTTATTAATTGTATTGTATTGTATTGTTACTATACCTACAATGTTTTTTTTAATGTTACTTAAAATGTATTGTACTATATTGTTATATTTCGTTGTTACGTAATAATGAAAAATCCCTATTTTATAGAACAACCAATTTGGTTTGTTCCTATTGTTACTTAATTTCTTTTTTCAATTGTATCTTTCCATAATATTTTAAAATACTATTTTACCCTTTACCTTAATTATTTAAATCTAGTCAAACCTCCTACCGTAGAATAATTAAGGATATTTAAGTAGATTTATAAATTATAATACATTATGATACAATCAAACCAAACAATTAAAATGTTACTAAACAATAACAAACAATACAATTTAGCCAATCATTGTATTTACCGTACAATAGAGTACAATACAATACAATACATTATGAAATAACGGGTAACAATGATCCAAACAAAATGTAAAATAGACAAGTAAAATGAGATTGACCCATTTACATATTTTAGATGGCTAACTTAATTATTTAATAGTTGAATGAAAATTCTTATAATTTTGTTCATTTAAAATTTGAAATTGAAACATTTTATTAATCATTGAAGTATTCAATTAGAATAAAATTTAATTGATGGTTTACAAACTCAACATTTTTTTTATTATTATGTAGGAAATTTTCTTACATATTTGGAGCAAGTCTTTTTCATCCATTAATTTTGATTAGCAAATAATTGAATATGTTCAAGTGTCAACCTTTTACCTGCTCAAACACATATTTTTTTTGTGAAAGAAATCGAAACACCTCGACGTTATTTGTAGTTTCTAAATGTGCAAATTTTAAAAAATTTCAAAACAAAGTAAACAAATAGATGGCCATATTCACATGGGGTGTGACCCACATATTATGCAATTAGTAATTATTTGATTTGAAATTCAGAGGCGCGGTTCAACGTAATTAGAGTAAAGTAAAATTTTAATTTATGGTCTAAAATATAAATATATTTCATATATTTTTTTTTTTCTTTTCTAATTTCATATTAATCCGTTTAAAATCTCAAAATTTTGACAATTATTATTATTTCTTAATACTATTTCATATTTTTCTTTCTGGCAATTGTAATTTGCAAGGACTTATATTTATGGACTTCGAAAGATACTTAATATTTTCTTTTTCGTAATATCAAACTCTTGCTCTATTTTTAATTGTATAGGTTAATAAATCGATTATAGCGAAAGCAATTAATGTAATAGGTCTAATTATACTAATTCCATCTAATAATAGTTCATTGTACTATTTTTGAATGTCTAATAATACATGTCAATTTTATAAAATTAATGAATAATCACGCTTATTTTTAAACTTATTCTTATCATTAATTAAAATTATATTTCTGTTACATTTTTCAAGACATTATATTTAATCATATTCAAAGCGTGATATAGTATTTATAGTTTCTTAAGAAATGAGCAAAGTCAATAGTGGACAAATATTGTTGGAGAGAGCAGAGTTTTAGGGTAAAAATATCCTTCAACTATACCTCAAACTTAAACTATATCATTAAAATATCATTTTATTAGAAAACATCTTTTAACTATATCTCAAACTTAAATTACATCCTTAAAGTATTATTTTTATTAGAAAACATCCTTTAAGTATTTGTAAGTGAATAACTTTCATTCTTTTGTTAGATACTGTCAAAAAAACTAAGGAATCTTACGAAAACATGAGCAGTTAACATGACTGTCAACAAAAATTATTATGCATAATTTCATTACTTTCTACAAGAAGTTCTTGAAAAATATAAAAAATATTAGACATTGTTGCTTATGGAAACTATAAATGATTGGAAGGTGTGAGCGTACATTATCTGTCTTTTTCATAACGGAAAGAAGTTGAAGATTAATTATTTTTATCTTTTTCTTAACCAATTAAGTTAATAGATTTTTGGGTCAATCTAATATCGAAGTGACCAAAATATAGATTATGTCTCGTATTTGAGTTTCATTCTACATTATTATAATGAAAAGTCTCCAACAAATGTTGCTTTTAGCATATTCAATTGAAAAGAAACATATATAAACTAATAATATTTTTAATTAAAATTATATGAAAAATGAATTAAAAAAAGGGTCAAATTAAAAGATTTTGTGTAATTCTTAACTCAATTACGAAAAGGTTCACGATAATATTCTTGACATATCTAAGAATAACAATTAGGAAGGGACGGTTTATATTTTGTGGGATATATCGATTAGTTTTCTAATAAATTCAAGTAGAATGATGAAAATTGTTTACTTTAAAATACTTGAAGGATATTTTATGAGAAGAATGATACTTTAAGACTGTAGTTTGAGTTTGAGGTATAATTTAAGGATGATTTTGACCAAAAACTCAAAATAATTGATCTCCAACTTTTTTTTGTTACAAAAAAGGCAAATTATGTACGCTCACACCTTCCAATCATTTTTAATTTCCATAAGCAACAATGTCTAATATTTTTTTTATATTTTTCAAGAACTTCTTGTAGAAAGTAATGAAATTATGTATAATAACTTTTGTTGATAGTCACGTTAACTGCTCATTTTTCATAAGATCTCTTAGTTTTTTGACAATATCTAACAAAAGGATGAAATTTGTTCACTTACAAATACTTGAAGAATACTTGAAGGATGTTTTCTGCTAAAAATGTCACTTTAAGGATGTAGTTTAAGTTTGGGGTATAGATAAAGAATGTTTTCTACTAAAAATGATACTTTAAGGATATAGTTTAAGTTTGAAGTGATGAATCATGTTTTTGGACAAAAATTCGAGAGGGCACTAAACCCCAAAGTGAGAAATTCAACCTTTTTTTGTCTTGTAAATATTTATATTAGTATTATTACATTAAATTTAAAGGTAAAATGATGCGGTTAAGCAAATTTATACTATTTAATTACTCATCATAACTATAGTATACTATAATTATCACTTGTGATTAACATTAACCATTAGTTACGTGGACTAACTTTGAGTTTGTATAATTAATCACGTTTGTATATGTATAATTCACCACATTTGTATAATTCGCAACTAACAATTCTTTGTTTGATTTGTATTTGTACGTGTACGATGGTTTGTATTTGTATATGAATTCCTTTGGTTTTTCACTTTTGTCATCATATACATTCAATCTTTTTGTGTATAACTTTAAAGTTTGTATAAACGTGTTGTTTTTGAATTTTGTATAATATAATTTATATATGTAATTTGTATAATATATTTTGTATAATTGTTTAAAGTTTAAATGTTTTATGTTTGTATCAATTCGTTATTTCGAGTTTGATTATATTTGTATAATTTCAGATTTTATATTACTCAATTATAAAAAAAAAAACATGTGAATTATTCAAACTTATCTGCGAATTATAGAAACGAGATATGAATTATTTAAATTATTCTCCTCTCTCATCCCTCTCCAAATCTCGTTCTCATCTTTCCTCCCTCTCTCAATCTCTCACGCCAGAATATACAAATACATATGTATAATATTATCTAACCGATATACATATATAATTCACATCTCTCCCACTGTATTCCTTCTCTCGCTTGCCTCTCTCCTTCCTCTCTCAGTCTCGCTCATCATTCTCCTCCTTATAACATGTAGCTACGAGTTGTAATTAACAAAATATACTTTTAAAGCACAATTAATCTATTTTTTAATAACTACATGCAAAAGTTTTTCAAATTTTTAAATTATAAAATTAAATATTTGAAGTGGGCTAGTCCAGTGAGAACTTCAGCCCATGTAAGGTTGAATCGGAAGGAAAACATTACCTCTTCTAAGATACGTTCCTCTCGTTAAGTAATGTATAATTTGCAATATATTAAATAATTAAAAAATATATTCGAAAGTAATAAAAATTTTAGACAATTACAATTAAGAAACTTTCAATATAGGATATAAGATATGCTAAATGTATGAAATTTGTGTACTTTATACCTATTTTAAAGCCTATCAAGACTGGCCAACCAAATTCCACGGGATTCTATGAGGTTAGCTTGTATTGACGACTCTAATTACTAATTGCTTCCTCAATTCATTTTGAATGAGTAGGCAAATAATAGGCATATTTATTTATGGAGAAGAAATAAGGATACATTATTAGTTAAAATATTTGTAAAAAATCAAGAAAAATATGCCAGGGCAGAAGTAGAAAGGTTGAGTTTTTGTAGCTTTGGGAGAGAAGAAGGTGAATAATGTGGTTTCTTAGCAAAAAGGGTCTTTCTGGATTCTCCCCAAACTCAACTGCTGAGGAAGTAACTCAAGCAATTGATGGCTCTGCTCTTACTGCCATTGTTACAGGTTCTACTCTCTTGCTCAATTTCAAATTGAACCTCCCCATTTTTTTATTTTAAGTTTCTTGGTTTAGTATTATATTATCAATATACGTTTCAGTTTATTTGTCTAATTTGACTTCGATAAAGTTTTTAATCTTGTAGTATTAGACATGTTATGTTCGAAAATTGAAATAAAAGAGTGGCTAAACTTTATGGGAAGGGACTAAAAATAAATTTTTTTGGATTCATGTATCCTACACTTAGTGGATATTCCATAAAGAAGAACTGGACTTGTTAGTTTGAATGAATTTTGTATGATTCTATGGAATGAAAAGAACCAAATAGACCAAAATGTGTATGAAGGATCCATGTAGCTCACCCTAACTGGTTTGGGATTGAGGCATAGATGTTGTAGTATTTGAAAATTGAACTGTTTATCCGCGCTCTCTTTGTCTTTGTCGATATGTGCTAGACTATTCACACTTTCACATTCATGATGGTAAACAGGAGCATCAAGTGGGATTGGTGCGGAAACTGCACGTGTTCTTGCATTGCGAGGTGTGCATGTAATTATGGGGGTAAGGAATATCTCTGCTGGAAAACAGGTTAAAGAGACGATAACTAAAGCTGTACCGCAAGCTAAAATTGATGCCTTGGAGTTGGATCTCAGTTCACTTGCATCTGTGAGGAATTTCGCATCAAATTACAATTCTTTAGGCCTTCCTCTAAACCTGCTTATGTAAGTGCTTACTTTGAAGTCTCAAAAACCGAGAATCTTGTGTTAGAGTAAGTACACATACATATCTGCTGTGAATATTATGCTCATTTCTATCCCTAAGTTCTCATAAAAGGTGTGATCATACAGGCATAAGCTGTAGATGTCTGTATGTAAACAAAGAAACAAGAGAAAAACATGTAGTTAAAAAGACATTAAGGGTAGCTAACGGTTGTTATGTGTTAGTTCTCAACCACAGTATGCTCCAGGTCTATATTATTAGGTAATCTTATCTTACAGTTGAAATGGAATGTCTTGAATGATTAGAGAAGTGTATAAATAAGAGTACTTTTAATATATTAAGTTCGAAATATATTCTATACAAATTCTAAGTCGACGCAACTATACTTTACACTACATTAAATAGGTTATTCAATAAATATTGTAGGAAGCATATATGATGAACTGTAATTCCTTATTTGAGTGTAACATATTGAACTTATTTGGTTTATCTCCAGAGTTTTCCTTCTCTGCTGTACATATGATAAGCTTTCTGTTCGCTATGATGTCAATATGAATATGGAGATCACTTATTCATACTCCACAATTCAGACAATGCAAAATTAACATTCTGTTTTTTAAAGTGAGCAATTCATATTACTACGTATACTGTAATGCAACCTTTTAGACGATTTCCGGCCTATATTTCATGTCCCATTGGAAGATTCAGACAATACAAAAGTAAAATTATTGAAACTTGGTAATTTAATGTTATCAGTGATACTAATTTCTAATATCAGTTTTTGCTTCTATTGACAACCCCTAATTATTATGTTAATTGTCTCAAAGAAGCGATAATTCATCATAGATAATAATACCTGCATGTCTGTTTTACTTTACAATACTTAAAAATGTGACAGACTGAATCCAAGGCATTCAGATTTTGTTGCTGATATGGAAGTTCAGTTTGCTGATGAATAATCTACAGATAATATTTTTTGAGCCTTGCTCCTACCACCATTAGGGTGAACAGGACTTGCATTTATAGGCATGATACTTGTGTTTTAGGCTGAATGATGAGCACAGAAGTAACTAGATAATTGCGATCTTGTGGCAAAGTAACAATGCAGGAATCATGGCAACCCCATTCGCACTTTCCAAGGATAACATTGAGCTGCAATTTGCAACAAACCATGTCGGTAAGATGCACGACATTTCCTACTACTTAACACTGAAATGAACTAGTCAATGAAAATGAGAATAGAACGGCTGGCGATTTTCTAAGGAGATGATAAATTAAAATATCCCCAGCCTTTGGGCCTTAAAACTGGAATTACGAGGTCAATTTTGTCGCTAAGTGTTTATTGTGTATCAATCTATGTCCTGCTTGTTAGACCGACTGTGATTAAGTTAGATGATTACCATGTCATGACAAACAAAACTGGCTTAGTATATGTCTACATTGTTACTTCCTTCTCTTTAGTGCTCATGAGCCTTAGTTTGTGAGGTTTTGTTTCCCAGAGTTCTGTATAATTTTATGACATCTTTTCTAGTTAAGTATCACTTAATGTGGGTATCCTAGTTGGTGTTTTTAGTGCTGAATGCTAATTGTTTTATTCTCATAGTTCTCCTTCGTTTGGTAAGCTTGTATATTCTTAGATTTCTGCATGACTTCCTGACATCTGGTGTTCAAATTATGTTTTTGGTGATATTGAAGTCAAATTGCATCACATTAAAGGATGATTGACAGAGTATATTTTTGCAGGCCACTTCCTTTTGACAAATTTATTGCTGGACACCATGAAAAAAACAGCTCGTGAGAGTAGAAAGGAAGGGAGGATTGTTAATGTCTCCTCACGTCGCCACAAATTTTCTTACAATGAAGGGATTCGGTTTGACAAGATTAATGATCAATCAGGGTGAACATGCTATAATCTGACATATCTTTTGAGTGCTAATTCTCTAGTTGTTGAGTCTTTGATTTTCTTCCATACAAATTTGACTAGTGTATATATTAGTGTCCCACAATGGCAGAAGATCTGCACACTGCAGAGAGTATCAGTAAAGAACTGAGTGTAAGGAACTTATCATTGTGATCTCCTAATCTGCTCTCATTAGGACGGAGTATCTGCGAGAAACAGGATCTAATTTCTCTGGTTGTCTTATCATCGACCAAGTTGGGATGAAAAAACATTATAACCAGTGCTACTTCCAGTGACTGCTGGAAAAAACTTATGCCCTTCACGAATTTAAAATATTTGGAGAATAATTGTTCCCTAATTCTGAGTGATGAGAGCGACAAAGATGTTTAAGCCAAAATTATTGATCATTTATGTGCAGTCATGAGGAGTGTCTACATGTGTTGTTTCCAGAAAATAGATGAAATGTGCTTATGCCAAAAGACGTTGTCAAAGGTCTTTGACATATGTGGATGAATGATCCTCAGGTATAATAGACTGTCTGCATATGGTCAGTCAAAGCTTGCGAATGTGCTGCATACTAATGAACTTGCTAGACATCTAAAGGTACACACTTATCAAGTAAACTGTTTAATGTGTTTGAAGATTGAATTTTCTGATACATTTGATAGAAGTACTCTACCAGACTATACAGCTATATCATTTAAATATGTCAAGTTTGAGACCTGGTAATTGTCAAATGGATTTACCATTAACTGAAACCTCCTCAGCTTAGATATTTCCTGGAGTAGATTGAGGATTGTAAGCAGAAAAACTAAAATGGTAGAAGTCTTTAGGCGTTGTACTTGCTGCTACACAAGTACTTCAAACAAAACATATAAATTTCAGCATTTGTTACAAATGTTTTCAAGAAAGCACCATAATGTAATATTGCGTTGTAAACTTTTTGAGGTGCAATTTTTATCTTTTCAAGCATTAAAGTCCAGTACTCCTAGAATAGACATTAGCACAAGTTGTTCCCTCTTCATTTCTCATTAGTTTTGAACTAGTTGTATTGAATCCTCTCATTAGCTAATATTACCTGGCTTACAGAGCCTTTTGGTACCTTGCTTCACAATGGTATCTAGTATAAGTAGACGATAAGTTCTTTATTCATTTAAAGAATAATAATGTAGACATTCCCTCTAGGAGTAATAATGTGGTCATTTTCTTGAAAAGGATGAGGGTGTGGAGATTACAGCGAATTCGCTTCATCCAGGAGCCATTGCCACCAACCTTTTCCGTCAGAACAGCATCATCAGTGGTAATCTCTTTGACTTCTGAGTCGTGTGTTCTGCCGATTTCTGCATGGGTGCTACATGTAAAGTTCCACTGGATGGTATACTCTTGATTGTTTGCATTGTGCTCTTGCTTCATGACTTTACAGGTGAGAAATTAAGTTAAAATTGCTAGTGTTGAGAATGAACAACACCTGTCAGATGATGCTCCCTTGAGCTCGTAAGCATCTAACGAGCCAAATCTGGTTCGAAGCTGTCCATAGTGGGTCTTCTCAGTTGCTTGTTTCTGACATGTGTTCTTATGTCTTGTTCTTCACTAACGCTTGAAAATTTGTTATTTACATTTGATGACAGCTAATGTAACAGAAAACTATAACTGGATATCTGCTACTTTGTTTTATGAGTTTTATAAACATCTTCATGATTTCGTCAATATCTCACCTCAAATTAATAGACCCTGAGAATAATGGTTAAGTGGTTTAGAGTCCTGTGATTATCCTTTATGCATTAAGCTTGTGTACATTTTACTTTTTTTTCTTTCCAGAAATGTTTAATCCACTCTACTCTTTTATGTGATACAGGCATTGTTAATGTCATTGGCAAGCATGTGATGAAAAATGTTGAGCAGGTAATGTTGGAGTGTGGAAAGTCCTATTAGTTTTTTTTGTTTTAGACTGAGAATCTTTAACAAACACACAAGAATTTAACTTCGAAATCATGATTCATAAAGATTATCTATAAGTAGCGACTTTCATGACCCTTTTTTCTTTTTTGAAAAGAAGAGTACCTCATTAGTCCTTTCTTTTTCTCTGCCATTACTGTTATAGTTTCGATTCCACGCCCTTGTGAAAGCAGCTAGCAAATCTAGGGCACCGGGTGGCTATGAAGGTTAAGGGAATGAGATCTCTTTGACATGTATGAATTTAGTTATGACATTGAATCCTTAGTTTTGGCTGTTGCACCTCTTTCTATTTGGTAGCCAAGCAATGTTGTTTGCATAAGTTTCTTCATCTATTTGCTGATGTGAAAGTGGTATCCACAACAGGGAGCTGCAACAACTTGTTATGTGGCTTTGCATCCTGATGTTAAAGGTGTAAGTGGCAAATATTATGCAGACTGCAACATAGCTGAGGCAAGCCCCCAAGCTAACGATGCTGGATTGGCAAAAAGAATGTGGGATTTTACCATGAGTTTAGTTCACTAACATGCAATTTTAAACCTTGCTTTCGCGTAAAGAGGATTCGCACGTTGCTGTGTTGTGTATCGTGTAGTTTGTAAAGCATTACAACACTGGGAATCTCAAACCAGGTGGCCTTTGGCTCATCTCATGTTGTGCATTTACAGCATATAGCCAGTTTCTTTGAAACTATTTTATAAAGGGCTATGTGGTTATTTTGAAATCTGTTTTACAAAGATAATTTTGAACATCTTTGATGGTTTACCTATTTTGGTACAAAACATCACTTACAAGGGAATGGAGACTAATACACTCCTTGGTGTGAGGTATAAGAAATAATAATCTAGAGAACTATCGTTTCGTTGGAGGTACTAGGCAATCTGGAATTATTTGTCTCACTCTTAATAACTCGTGTGTTAAGACTCAGATATTGTCAAAATGCAGGAAACGTCTTTCAAATTATGACATGGTTGAAGTTTGAGTCAGACACCAGAACAAGTCATAAGGTCAAATAGTTGATAAGAAATGTGCTGTCATATCTGATTTTGTTTAATCAGCAATATTTTCAGTTCATTGTTTACTGTACAACAAACCCCAACCTCCTGTCCACAAAAGGGGGAAGAGCAGGAAGAGATAAAGGGCTCTAATCCTATTTAATTTCCACGCTTGCTTCTTTTGTTCTCTCTTCTATGGGGACAACATAAATATACAAGTTTGGTACCTCAAATGTCATGTTTGAAGGATCAGCTGTACATTGAATCACTTGAAGCTAGCCTCCACAATCATATGACTCCTTTCACAGCTCGGATTAGGTTATCAAATCTGATCTAAGGCACTCAACATTTTACAAACAGCTTCACTGTCCACAGATGCTACAATGAAGGTCAAAAGATACACTGGGAAGTAAGCTTCATCTTTGTAACACTAGACCCAAGGGCGGACGGAGGTAATAAGATCAGCTGATTGATCTCGACAATGGATAAAGTTCTGCTCAAGAAGATGCTATTTTATTTCCTAAATTTCCCCCCGATGGGTCCATATTGTGCAAATCAGCTTCCTTCAAAGTTACCAACATACACTGATAGTAAACTATGAAACTGGAAAGTCTCCCATGAATGTTGTATCTGACAAAAAAAAAATCATGCTTCACCTGTCCGACCGTCCAAAGGAGGACAAGGGTTTAGATCTAGCGAAGGAACCAATTTCACATGATCCCTTAAGAGTTGCTGAGACACCCGATTGGCCAGCACTGACTGTCCATCATAAAGCTCTCCTCCTGTAGTCCTCCCAAACTGCTTTCCAAGAGCATCATTTTGAGAGGATGCCAATTCCCGGAAAGCATGAGATCCTGATGGTGGCCCTCTTAAAACATCAGGATCCCAGTAAGAAGGGCCATTCATGTAAGGACTCTGTGGAAGTGGTGCTGCCTCCTGTAAGTAAACTGACTGATTAAGATGATGAAATGGAATAGCACCAGTCCCTCCAGAGAGTGGTGTTGATGAGCCAGACATGGTGATAGGACTTGATATGGGTGAGGGAGACAGCCTCCCATTTAGGTGTTGAGGTGACCTTGGATGTAAAAGAGGGCTACCAATCGGTGAGACAGGGCATGATATGTTTCTTGTAATGCTAATGTCACTGGAGATCAAAGAAGAATATCAGTGATCATAAAAGATGAGTACTACCTTCATTATTTCTCTACTATATTCAGAATTGAAATTTGAAGGCAACAGCTTTCTTTTGGAAGTTTCTCAATAAAAATTAGAGAATTTAAAAATTATAAAATGATCAAGAGAAAAGACCTGCAGTGAAAATTAGATTTTGACACTCTGGATGAGTGGGTTGCAAGCCTTTCTGATTCTGATGTAGGGATATTCCTTGCCTGTCCAATGCCCTAAGATTCATAAAGAACACACCGGTAAAATTAAGCCATGCCACAAAAGCTCAAGATGGAGATTGATAATGTTTACGTCATCAATCATACTGCAAATTTCATTCCGAGATCATGAATTTAATATATACTCCATCCATCTCAAGTGATCTATCGTAATTTCTAAAAATACTTTTTATCTCAAATTATTTGTCATTTTAGAAGTTCAAGATAAAATTAATTTCATCTTTTTTCCATTCATTAGTAGTAGTTAATCTTAAAGACTTCAGACGCCTAAGTAAATATTTAATGAAGAGATTATATCTAAAGACAATATATGAGGACAAAGTAGTCAAAAACTCTTCCTAATTGATGTTTTCTTAAGGGGCATGTAAAAAAGAAAATGACGGATAGTTTGAGACAAAGGGAGTACTAATTAGTCCTTTTCTTCCCCTTCCTATAGGGGGATGATTAGTCCCATATCTTATATATATTCCAACATGGGACTAATGAAGATCGTCTGTTCCGAGGAAGACATGCTCCCTCATAATGGTGCTAGGACAAAGCTACGAACATCTAATAATACAACTAACAGCATGATGGTGTTAATATGCATTCACCAACTCATATATGAGCATCCTCCATCTAAATCTTCTTACAGCTACCAATAAGTCAATTTTCATTTTTTACAACATTAAAGTTCACTTGCTTCATTTTAAACTCATTGTAAGAAGAACAAGGATTGTATTTTGCTAATTTGTTTTCTCTTGATGTAAAACTCACTTATTGTCTTCCACCCCAAAAATTTGTGCTGATGATTCTTATGAATATACTGGATTGACATGCATTCACCATCTCATATATGAGCATCCTCCATCTAAATCTTCTTACAGCTACCAATAAGTCAATTTTCATTTTTTACAACATTAAAGTTCACTTGCTTCATTTTAAACTCATTGTAAGAAGAACAAGGATTGTATTTTGCTAATTTGTTTTCTCTTGATGTAAAACTCACTTCTTGTCTTCCACCCCAAAAATTTGTGCTGATGATTCTTATGAATATACTGGATTGACATAATCCAGTATATTCATAGGAATCATCAGCACAAAAAAAAGGTTCACTTGCTTCCGTTTCTCTCTATCTATCTATCTATTTCTCTTTACACTCAAGAGTGGATCCAATATTTAAACATTTCATGGGTTTGAGGCCGGGATCCTGTACATATGTTTAGTTATTCAGTAAATAATTGCTGAACACTATTCAAAGCTACTGGGTTTGGATGAACCTATAACGTATACATTAGATCCACCCTACTTACTCTGTAATGAATCAAGAAGCCAATTTAAAAAGTAGAAGTTCACCTATATGTTCTTTTTTCAAAGGATGAAGCTTCTTGCTATGTTATGAATCAAGAAGCTACCAAGACTACGCTCACCAATCTCACTTGAGGCTGAATACTACATATAACATCAGGGGCAATCAAATTGCACCTTCAAGGAAAGCAAAGACAAAAAAGAAGGCATTCTAACATGAGAAACATGCATGTTTGTGAAGGCACATACACAGACATCATCCTACCCTCTTTGCTTTCAATTAAATACGGGGGGAAGAAAAGATGATCGGAGAAGCACTAATTTCAAGTTTACTTGACCATCCAAATGAATCTAGCTAGTTAATATCAGAAGAAGAAGCTTTTAGCCACAAGAAAGAACGTAATAGAATGGCCAGCTAGTAGAAAGTTTCTCAGGATCCTTTTTTATAATGAGCTTATCTTAGTAAATTTCCTTTTATCTCTTTTTAAGTATTTCTGATAGTTAAAAGATCATATCCTCGCAGTTCCAAAAAAAAAAAAAAACAGATAACAGGGACTACTTGATTAAAAAAATATGTTCATTATTGTACGAACCCATTCACAGACCCCCACTTGTGTGATCACACTGCGTATGTTGTTTATTTTAAGAACCCATCTTACAATAAGCTACAAACTACAGTACACAGATTATGTAGCACACATCAAACAATATAAGACCATATTTACATATTCACTTAAATTATTTCCTTTTCCAAAAGGAACCGATCCACTTTTAAGAACTAACCACTCTCTGAGTCGCATGCAACAAGTTCATAGTACTGAATACATATTCCAGTACATTATTACCGACATCTGCATTGGTATTGTATGAGCTTCAAATATACTTGAGCTCATCTTAATCAGGAAAGTAACTTAAGAGTATATGCCGTCAACTTTCAAATAAAGGATATATGTAACCAATCAGTTAATTTTGCCAAAACTAATTGCTGATCCAAAATTATTTTATGGTCACAGAAGAACAAATGTGTCGGTGTACTTTTATCAGTATCATCAGCACCCCTTCATGTTTCCGAAAAGAAAGAGAAATGACTACCAATGCCATAACAGCAAAGAGAAAAGAAGACTAAATTAAACAGAAGTGTACCAGAGATTTAACACCATTTGCTCCTGCACATGGAGGATCTGCAGGTGGAGAAATATTTGGCTTCTCCAGAGTTGCCACATTTTTCACAAAAGGATGATCCAATAGCTGAGCAGCAGTAGGACGAAGACGGGGCTCACGCTGCAAGCACTTCCTCACAAAATCTTTAGCTTCATCTGAGAGCTGTTCTGGTATAGTTGGGAGCTCTTTACTATTCCCAATCTTAAACATAGCAGCAACCTTTGGGCCAGAAGACATCAAACACCACATGTAAAAGGTCAGGGGAATGAACTGGCATTGCACAACTTGCTATCTCAAACTAAACTATGGGCTATGGCAAACCATTAATCTACAGAAAATTTCCAGAAGAAAAAACAAGCAGGATATGCTCAATTAATGGTCTCTCGACCAAAATTACTCACCCCTTCATACTGGCTAAAAGGAGGCTTTGATGTAGCCATTTCTAAGACGGTGCACCCAAGACTCCATATATCAACAGCAAGGTTGCAGCCACTAGAATTCTTTATAACCTGAAACAACAGGAAAGAGGCACTTTGGAGTCAAACCATAAATAGCCAAGGCACATAAAAAACTTTAAAATACTTCCCAAATCAATCCTTACCTCAGGGGCCATCCAGTAAGGACTTCCCTTGAATGATAATGGACATGACTGCCCTGTGATCTGCAAATTTGTGATTGAAAAATTAAAGATATGAGTTTCAGCTTGAAGAGCACACCTACAGAGGGAAAAATATTCAGATGGCACAAGGTTGACAATAGCACAAGTGCATTACTTAAGGAATTGAATTCTGTACTTAACAATTACCACTAAAAACAAGGAAAAACCAGATGATAAGAAAAAGATATATCCATAATCCATTCAACAGCAGTATTAATTAGATAGAAAAGCAGATCTGGAAGGGGGAAAATCCATACACTATCTCCAATTGATAATTTCATCCAGTAATCAAGATCATCTAAAATTACAACGCCCTTAGAAGTCTATGCTTAAGCTTACATGTTT